TAATGTTTGCCCATGTCTGATGTAGAATAACAGCAGAACAACCTCCAGAGTCCAGCAGAAGGCTTGAGAAAAACAAAAATAGAAATTTTAGCAATGAGAAAGACAAACTTTTAATAGACTAATTAAAATCAGAGAAACATATCTTTATAAAGCAAACATTCTGAACGTAGTAGAGTGCTTTAATATTGAATAATTAATTCAAGCAGCAAAAACACTTTATAAGGCTATAGCTATACATAGTCCACAGGTGAAAAATATTGTAGTTCTGATTGAGGACGGAAATAAACCTGGGGCCTTGGGGGACTATTCACATTCAGTTCCTGAGGTCATTTCTCAGAACTCCATTTTCAGATTGGACAGGGTCTTGACTGAATGTAACCTCAGCCACAACTAACAGCTAAGGTTCCTTCTTTATTTATTGGTTTATTAGCATGTTTAAATGTCTTACAGATCTCAGATCTCCCACACTGACTTCTCTTTTATGTCTCTAATAGGTTGTGAGCCTGAGAGCAATGACCTGTTCTGTTGTTCTTTTACATATAAATCACCATGTGCAGTGATAGTGCTATATGAATACATACATGATTATAATTAATGGTAACCTAATTTGTGTTCTGTCCTGGCCACCTAACTTCAGGTGTTTGTACATGCCTTCTAGTTGCTTGTTGACTTATGACAACCCTATGGATTTTATAGGGTTTTCTCAGGCAGGGGATACAGTGGGCCTTAGTGCCCTCTGCAGAGCTCTCCAATTATAATTTATGTATGTGTCCATATTTTTTATAAGGAGTTGGTTTAATTTTTGGTTTGCTAATAAAACTGGGGTTTGGTTCCAGGATCCCCATTGATACCAAAATCTATGGATGCTCAAGTGTCATAACATAAAATGGCATACAAAAATTGTGCCCCTTTTAAAATTCCAAAATCAAAATTTATTTAGGGGTATTTATTTATTTGAAATACTAAGAGAAATTGGAGCAGCTCCCTCACTCCTCTCTTTCAATAAAGAATTAAAAACCTATTTCTGTTCATTGGCTTATGGAGAGGAGGATCAATAGCTACCACTGAGTCCACCTTGGTGGACAAAGCTGACGAGTATTTTAATTCCAAAGAGTCATATTTTCACACCGTAATACAGATTTTAACCGTGAAATTGTAATATCTATGATGCCGGACCAGGCCTGTAGCGAGGGGGTGGTTGTGAAATGTTTCAGATTTTTTTTTTTAAATGGTTTACTCATGAATTTTAACTGGTTAACCAAATCCCCATGCTAAGTCTATGAGATGCAAAAAATTAAGAGTCCCTCCAGAACTGTAAGAACTATCTCAAGCAAATATTGACAATTTATTCACACTGTCATTACTTGCAGCAATAGCCGATGTAGTGAAACAACCAAGTTGGGTGGGGGAGGGGTGTTGAATGCTCTCATTAAGGAGGCCAGACTTGGTGGAGGTGGTTGACAGGGGTGGAGCTGCAGGCTATTGCAGGTTGCTCTGCCCCCTGCTGTGCTCTTTGCTTCAGCGTGAGCTAGGAGGCAGGTTTCAACCCCCCCCCGCGAAATTTCAACCCCCCCCCCCCCGAAATTGTGAACCCTCCCCGAAATTTTTTTCTGGCTACGGCCCTGTGCCGGACTGACCGATTGATATGTTTTAGCCAAAATTGCTTTAATTGTATGTTTAAATGTTTGCAATTTATTAATGTATACAGCATTGAATGTTTGCCATTTTGGTTTATGGAAGCAGCCCTGAGTCCCTTTAAGGAGAAAGGGTGGGGTAAAAATAAAGTTGTTTATTTGTTTATTTCAAGCTGTGGATAGTTGTTACCGGTGACACAGAAGCTGTGGATACATAGGGTCGACTGTATTCAGAAGTGTTATTGCCAGTTCCTTCCTTTGAAATACTGGCTACAGCATTTCCTATGCAATAACAATCTCCCATCCAAGTCCTAACCATAGTTTCCAAAATAAGACTGGAATTGGTATATTTAGGATATTTAGGCCTGCATTCAACTCAAGCTGAAAACAAGGCAGTGCACTTGGTGAAGGAGATGGCATAGATATTAATAACAACATGAAGATGAAAACATGAATGAAATGATGACAAATTAAAAATAAAATGAATAAAATGACAATGCTAATATTATGAACAGTGACTACATTTTTAAAGATTGAATAAACAGTTATGATGATGATATATGATCTGCAGAGAAACCAGAGAATGAAAAAGTAGGCGAAATGAATTGCTGATATTGCAGTCAATTGGTAAGGAGGTCTAGCCAATAAAATTTTGTCTAATCTAAATTCTTATATCAGTGTTAATATTTAATGTGCTGTATTGCATTTTAATAGTGTCAAATTTTAATATGCATGATCTAATTATTTTACATAATATTTTTATATTATTTCACTTGTATATCATATTTGTTGTTCATTCGTTCAGTCGTCTCCGACTCTTCGTGACCTCATGGACCAGCCCACGCCAGAGCTCCCTGTCGGCCGTTACCACCCTCAGCTCCCTCAAGGTCAGTCCAGTCACTTCAAGGATGCCATCCATCCATCTTGCCCTTGGTCGGCCCCTCTTCCTTTTGCCTTCCACTTTCCCCAGCATAATTGTCTTCTCTAGGCTTTCCTGTCTCCTCATGATGTGGCCAAAGTACTTCAACTTTGTCTCTAGTATCTTTCCCTCCAGTGAGCAGTCGGGCTTTATTTCCTGGAGAATGGACTGGTTGGATCTTCTCGCAGTCCAAGGCACTCTCAGAACTTTCCTCCAACACCACAGCTCAAAAGCATCGATCTTCCTTCGCTCAGCCTTCCCTAAGGTCCAGCTCTCATATCATATACCATATATTTATACAAACTGGAACAGTCAATTACCCTTCAAATTTTAAGTTTGGACTTTGTTGTGGGGAAATCAAGTTATTTCCTGGGTGGAGATAGACTGATTGTTGGAGTGACCTAGCATTTCTGTGTTCTCAAATAAAATGCTATGTCCAGGTTTATTTATTTATTATTCGAATTTATATGCCGCCACTCCCCTGGGGCTCGGAGCGGCTTACAAGAATAGCTAAAAATCTAACAAAATTTAAAAGCAATTTAAAACAATTTAAAAACAGCGATATCAAACATTAAAAGCCTGTCAAAACAGGTATGTCTTACATGCCCTGCGGAAAGCTGGTAAGTCCCGCAAGGCACGGACTTCAGGTGGCAGAGTATTCCAGAGTGATGGTGCCACTGCTGTGAAGGCTCTGCGTCTGGTTGCTGTTAGACGCAAGGTCTTGACACTGGGGACTTCCAATAGATCTTGGTCCTCAGAACGGAGGGATCGCTGGAGTTTGTAGGGGGTGAGGCGGTCCCTCAGATACATCGGCCCCAGACCATGCAAGGCCTTAAAGGTGAGTACCATCACTTTGAAAGTGATCCGGTGCTCAATTGGTAACCAATGCAGCTGCAGTAAGATTGGTGTTATGTGGCATCTCATAGGAATTCCCGCAAGAAGCCAAGCAGCTGCATTTTGTACCAACTTGAGCTTCCGGATCACCGACAAAGGAAGGCCAATGTAGAGGGCGTTACAGTAGTCCAGTCTTGAGATGACCGTGGCCTGGATCACCGTAGCTAGGTCGTCCCTGGACAGGTAGGGGGCCAGCCGTCTAGCCTGCCGCAGATGAAAGAAGGCGGTTCTGCTAACGGCGGAGACCTGGGCCTCCATCATCAGCAGAGGGTCCAAAAGGACTCCCAGACTCTTTACCAATGATGACAAGCGTAGCGCCTCGCCATCCAGGGTAGGCAGCTGGATGTCCCCACTGCCCGGTCGACCCAGCCATAGGATCTCCGTCTTTGCTGGATTCACCCTCAACCTGCTGGCACGCAGCCATCCAGTAACGGCCTTGAGGCACTGATGGAAACAATCGGGTACAGAGTCCGGTCGGCCTTCCATCTTCAGCACCAGCTGAGTGTCATCGGCGTACTGATAACACTCAAGCCCAAAACCTCGAACCAGCTGAGCAAGTGGTCGCATATAGATGTTAAATAACAGAGGGGAGAGAATGGCCCCCTGAGGAACCCACAAGATAGAGGGGACCTCTCAGAGACCAGGCCTCCCCTCTCCACTCGCTGTCCACGGTTGTGAAGAAAGGAGGACAGCCAGTTTAAAGCTGTCCTCCTGACTCCAGCAACAGCAAGGTTGGTTCATCAGGTGCTCTGCTATGGCTGACTTCTCTGGTTGAAGTAGTCTGCAGTGCCTTTCATGTTCCTTGAGTCACAGAAATGCTGGACCACTCTCACAACCACCATGTCAGACTACACAGAGAAGCCATTGAAATCCACAAGCATGTGGACAATTTCAACAGAAAGGAGGAAACCATGAAAATGAACAAAATCTGGCTACCAGTATTTAAAAAAACCTCTAAAATTAAAACAGCAAAACAGCAGGGAAAACAATCAGGGACATCTAATCACCTCTCAACAAAAGATTGCTCCAGGCACTTCCAGTCTATCAAATGCTAATCAAGTTGGTCAGTTGAAACATTCACACCTAGTTCCAGCAGATAAGAGTTCTTTGTCCCACCCTGGCCTTTCCACAGATACATAAACCCATTTTCCTAGTTCCAACAGACCTCACTACCTCCGAGGATGCTTGCCATAGATGCAGGCGAAACGTCAGGAAAGAATGCCTCTAGAACATGGCCATATAGCCCGAAAAAACCTACAACAACCCAGCCTACTGGCTGTTAGGAATTGTGGGAGTTGAAGTCCAAAATACCTGGAGGGAGGGCCCAAGTTTGCCCATGTCTGTTTTATATATGAACAACAGATATACTGCTACGTTTTACCAAGAGGCCTCCTCAAGAGGAAGGCCTCGCCTCATGGAAACAAAACAGTCCCAAAGCCTGGTTTTTGTTCAAGAGGGGAGCCAGTCCTGAAGAGAGGAGGGGCGGGCCTCTTAGTGGGCGGGAACGAGGCCAAGGGGGCCCCTCCCTCTGCTTCCGCCGGGGCCCTTGTTCCCGCCCTTGACTGACGCGCCTGGCTTCCTCCGCGCGCGACCAAGGCGGGCCTCGCTTCCGCCAACGCCTTCCTTCTCTGTCGAGACGAGCGCCGCCATCATGTCCCGCTACACGCGGCCCCCCAACACCTCGCTCTTCGTCAGGAACGTGGCCGACGCCACCAGGTGAGCAGCCAGAGGAGGAGGAGGAGAGGCCTGGGGAGAGACAAGGCCCTGAGAGAGGCCGGCCTCCCGCCTTCGGAGAGGGAGGGAGGGCCCGAGCAGGTGGGACCAGGCCCGAGGCGCCAAGGCCCTTTGTTGAGCTTCAGGGCGGCTTTTGGAGCAGGTTTCGTGAGGGCGAAAGGGGAGGAGAGCCCCAACATGGCGGCGTGGTGGGCCTCTTGTTGCCCCTCTGCTGAAGCTGCCCCCAAAGGCCCACTCCGAAAAAGGAGCCTCTTTTCTGCGCCATCCGAAGGCCTTTATCCCAGCGTCAGATCCTGGGATAAAGGGCAGTGTGGAAGGGCCCTCAGGCTTCATCTACTCTGCCATATAATCCAGTTTCGAGCACATAAATTGAATTCAGAAACTGGATTATACAGCAGTGTAGGCGGGGCCTTGCAGCCCCCTTGTACCTGCCTTTTGTGCCCTCCTCCCCATTCCCCTCCTTCCTTCTCTTTTCCGATCCCACTGAGTTTGTCTTCTCTCCACCCTGAAGATCCCTGTGCGACTTTTCCTACTTCCACGGGTTAAATAGAGTTGGAAGAGACCTCGTGGGCCATCCAGTCCAACCCCCTGCTGAGAAGCAGGAAAATCGCCCTCAAAGCACCCCCAACAGATGGCCATCCAGCCTCTATTTAGAAGCCTCCACCACACTCCGGAGCAGAGAGTTCCACTGTTGAACAGCTCTCACAGTCAGGAAGCTCTTCCTCCTGTTCAATTGGAATCTCCTTGTAGTTTGGAGCCATTGTTCTGCGTCTTAGTCTCTAGAGCAGCAGAAAACAAGCTTGCTCCCTCCTCCCTATGATTTCCTCTCACATATTTATACTTATGCTGCAAAGTAGCCAGCCCTCCTTTTCAAAACGATTCCATATTTCTGACTAAAAAGAAGGAAAACGTAACCTTTCCTCGTAGGAAGCTCTTTCTTCCCATACAAGCATTGTAGAGAGGCCTGAAGGAGGAAGCCCGGAGAGAGACCTGCCGTCCCGCCACCCGCCTTTTGGGAGGGCTCCGAGGAACCTAGAACAGACGTGTTGTCTAAGGTTTTTGTGGCCGGCATCACTGGATCGCTGTGAGTTTTCCGGGCTGTATGGCCATGTTCCAGAAGGCTTTGAAGCTGCAAGGCCATTCAATGCTTATCAAGGTGTCCAGTTGCAACATTTACACTTGCCTCAAGCAGACAAGAGTTCATTTCCCCATTTTGGACATTCCACAGATATATAAACCCCACTTGCCTAGTTTCCAACAGACCTCACAACCTCTGAGGATGCCTTCTATAGATGTGGATGAAACGTCAGGAGAGAATGCTTCTGGAACCTGGCCATACAGCCCAGTAAACTCACAGCAACCCAATGAATCCAGCCATGAAAGCCTTCTACAACACATTAAAGCAGATAATCTGACATCAGATCCCAGGATAAAGGGCCGTGTGGAAGAGCCCATAGACCTCCTTTACACTGCTATATAATCCAGTTTCAAGCACATAATCTGCATTCAGAAACTGGACTATACAGCAGCATAAATAGGGCCTTACTGGCCTTGCAACCCCTTGTCCCAGGTGTTTGTAGCCCTCCTCCCCGTCTCCCCCCCCCCCTTCCTTGGCTTTTCTAATCCTACCTTTGGCTTTCTCACCCCTCTCCATCTTCCTGGCACCTTCCCTGCCACTTTAGTCTTCCATGGTTTTCCTAACTGCACTGGGTTCCCCTTCTCCCCACTCTGAACTTCCCCAAACAACACTTCCCACTTCCATGGCTTTCCTTTTCAAAACTATTGCATTTTTCTGACTGGAAAGCAGGAAAACGTAGTCTGTTTTCCCCGAGAGCACTTTCTTCCCATACAAGCACTAGAGAGAGGCTTGCCTTGCCGCCTTTTGGGGAGGGCCTGATGAGCCTAGAGCAGGCCTGAGGTATCAAGGCTTTCAGTTGGGTATCCAAGTTACCAATTACCCAGATTCTTTCATCTAATCGGCCCCAGAATGAACAGCCACAGACCCATACCTAATATTATTGTTGCCTGCCATAGCATTGCACTTAATTCCCGGGCCCCCTAGAATATTTGGGCTCGCACAAATCTTGGCCCGGCCTTTAAAAAATTTTAATTGCCTTGAACAGGCAGGATTACTTTTAATATATGTGTGTTATGGCGACAATTTTTATGCTTATATTTTGTTTCGTTAATCTTATGGTTATGTTGTTTTTTACTTTGTATGTTTTGTGATGTTACCTGGGAACCGCTCTGAGTCTCCTGGGGGAGATTGAGCGGTATATAAATAAGGTTTTATTATTATTATCATTATTATTATTATTATCATCCAAGTGAGTTTTGTGGGGCAGAATGAGGGCCTCCGGATCAGGGAAATGGCTGCTGTGTGCTCTTCCGTACAACCATGTAACTCAGAATATCAAGGCAGAAAATCACGCAATATCTGCTTTGAACTAGGTTACCTGAGTCCACGCTGCCATATATTCCAGTTCATAGCAGAACATGTGGGATTTTATTCATCGCTGTGGAAGAGGCCTGTGTCTCTATGCATAATTTGAAGCTGCCACAAAGAGTCTATTTCATAGAAGGGTATCCTATTATTTTATTTTCTGGTTCAGCCAGACATCTCTGAGGAGGTAAAATCTCCTGAGGAGGTAAAATAGAGTCATTTGCCTCCAGATAACCTTCGTCAGTTGTTTTTTCCCTATTCTAAGAGCATTGAGCCATTGCCTCCAAAACACAAAAGGAGGGAGAAGACCACCCTAAGTAGCACTTTTTAATTTTTTAAAAAACTATTAAGTTTGCACATCATATACAATATTACAATGCAGCCACAAATCATTATTTACAATTATGCATTTTCCAGATCTCTTCCCTCTCAGCTCTCTAACTCAGACATGGTCAAGCTTCAGGTGCTTTGGACTTCCAGTTCACACAATTCCTAACAGCCCAAGGCCCGTTCCTTTTCACTTAAACAGCTGAGAGGAAAAAGGAACGGGCCGAGGCTTTTAGGAATTGTTGGAGTTGAAGTCCAAAACATTTGGAGAGCTGAAGTTTGCCCTGCCTGCTCTAACTAGTAAGTTATTCTATACTGCTCTCTGTCATCCTGTCACATATCCCTCACAATCATCTAGTATTGTGGCTCCCCGGCTGCTCCCATCTACCAGTATCTCTTTACTGGTCTTCTCAGCTGATCTTCTCTTACTGACTTTGCTACCCCTTCCTTTCCCAACTTTTCTATTCTACTCTTACCTGGCTTCTCTTACCCCACCTTTGACTTTTTTAAGCCTCTTCATTTTTCTGATTTCTCTCCTGCTCATTTAATCCCTATGACTTTTCTACCTGCATCCTGAAGCTCTCTTCTCAACTTTCACAAGCAGCCCTCCTTTTCAAAACTCTTCAAGATTTTTTCTGACTGACTGGAAAGCAGCAGAACTCAGGCAGTAGCTGCGGGGGGTTCTTAACTGGATCCATTGAAAGGTGCCTTGGGGCCCAGAGGCATTGTAAGTGAGAGAAAGGCAAAAGTGGGATATCTGAAATCTGTTTCTTTTAGCTACGCTTTTAAATATGTGGGTATATATTTCAAAACTGAAAGGGTGTGGTATCTTGTTATCCCTCATACATCCCAATTCCAAAAAGAAGTAGACAGAAGAGCTATGAATACACCACAAAAGAGAGAAAAGGAGAACCGTTTTTACTTTTCTTTTAAAAATGGCCTCTGTTGTTTTTAACAGAAGACAGAAAGACCAGGTTTGTACATCACATCCTGTACAAAGGAAGCTGTAATGATTTGTTCCTATTTGACATTTTACAATACATGTATATTGATTTTTAAAAATTGTTACTCTAGTTGCACATAATTCCCTATATGATAGAAGGAACAAAATACACTAAAAATAAATAATAATATACTTTATTTATATTCTGCCCTTCTCCTCTAGGGGACTCAACAGATAATAGCATTTATAGCAGACATAGGCAAACATTCAATGCTTTGCAGTCACATACAATGAGACAGACAAACACATAAAAGGCAAAGGCTTCTCCTTTTTCATTTCTGACTTTTAGAGGCAGTACTCGGCTTTGTGTTCTTTTCCATTTTCATGCCAAGGAGCCTGCGTTATTACCTCCTGATTGTATCGCCAGCAGCCTGCTTGGAGTTTCTTTTGTCTTTTCCCGCCAAAGTGGTATTTTTTTATCTACTCAAATTTGCATGTTTTTGAACTGCCAGGTTGACAAGAGCTAGGGCTAACAGCGGGAATTCACCCCATCCCACAGATTCGAACTGCTGACCTTCACAGGAAAGAAATACAGTGCTGGCCATGTAACAAAATACATTATCCACAAAACAGTAATACCTTTATTGGTCTGTCCAAATGCAGAACATACATCATGCAAGTTTCTAAAAGTCCATTGGCTTCTTAATCAGACAAAAGATGTCAAAAATCATACAGAAGAAGAAAATGGCCATGTTAGGGTCAGGGGCCATGGTAGCACAGCGAATTATACCACTAGCTGCAGAGAACATGCTAACCGGAAGGTTGGTAGTTCGACGCCACGGGTTGGGGCAAGCTCCTGCTGTTAGCCCTAGCTTCTGCCAACCTAGCAGTTCAAAAACTTACAATATTTGTAGTTCAATAGGTTCCACCTCAACGGGATGGTAAAAGGCAGCCATGCCATCAATACATGACCAGCAGGTGTCTACGGACAATATCCTTGGCATAGAAATGGAACAAGAGCATCCCCCCACCATTGCCAGAGTTGAGCACCACCTCCAGACACCAGAGATGGGAGGGAAACCTTTGCCTTTGTTTGTGTATTTGTATATGTCATTGTTACTGTATAAAAGGCATTGAATGTTTACCTATATATGTGTATACTGTAATCTGCTCTGAGTCCCCTCAGGGAGATAGAACAGAATATAAAGTGTATTATTATTTCATAACAGATGTTATTTCTGTTGTAAATTACTTTGTAGGCATCTCAATAAGGGCAGAGGCGACTCATCTTTTTGAACACGTGTGAGAATAGTAAAATTTAAAACTTTATTTTGGGATCCAGGTTTTTCTTTGTCTTTTGTGAAGTCACCAGAAACTTTATTAGGCAGAGACCATTGAACATTAACTATTGGAACATAAGATAAGCTGAATCCTGCAGCTGTGTGTTATTTTAAAAGTTCCACAATACAGAAACAATAATGTTTTTGCCTTTATCTGAAATACTTCAGGCCTGAGGATTTGCGCCATGAATTTGGTCGGTATGGCCCCGTAGTAGACGTGTACGTTCCGCTTGACTTCTACACAAGACGCCCAAGAGGATTTGCTTATATACAATATCCTTTGTGTCACTGCATGTTTGTGAAGATGTCTTGTCTTGCTGCATCCTAATGGAATGTATTTATTTCTTTGTCYCAGAAAATGTAAAGCAGTCCCCAGTGGCTGGCAAGCACCCCAAAGTTTGAATGAACCTGGTTAGATAGAGTCCAAGCAGGCAAGCCAAAAGACACCTTAAAGTCCAAGCTTCRAGGAATAAAGAGGGAGGGTGGCAAAGATAAAAAGAAACCTGGAAGAGGGGAAGTCCTTTCTCAAAGAAAAGACAAAGCCACAACACCAAGTTAAGGCTTCGGCTTTCCGACATTTGCTCGAGTTCCAAAGTCAAAGCCAAGTCTGATTTGGTTGGTTCTCCGGCCCTTGTCAAGTCCATCTAGCAAGCCCTAAAGAGTAAAGGTCAAGATCAAGTGACGTGGAGGTAACTGCCAAAGTTTCCTTTTGTATCCTATCGCTCAAGCTCATCAATTTCAATCAAGAACCTGTTTGTTTGTAATTGTTCTTGTTTAAATATTGCTCAATTTAATTTAAAAGAACTGTATGTAAATAATTGTTTGTTATTTTATTTATTTTCCCTAACAGGTTAGATTTGAGTGGAATATTGAGAAATATCAGTCATTTAGTTCAGTGCTTCTCAAACTATCTGATGTGATGGCAGAGCTGTGGTCACTTTGCAGATATTTGAGAGCGCCCAGGAGCCGTTGTAGAAGAATAGTTTTTAGTGCTGGAGTCTGGGAAACTACAGTTTGATTTCCTGGCTTCACCAGGAAACCCACTGGATGATCTTAGCCAAATCTCATTCTCATCCTCAGTGGAAAGTACTCTGTACAATCTTACTAAGAAATCCTGTGAAAGGGTCACCTGCAGCTGAAACCACACATCAAGATGGCCACGAACCAATATCATTTGTGGTTCATATTGTTATTTGTATTTTATTTGTTTAGTTTCCTGGAAACGTGCTGCAGATTGGCAGCTAACCGTTCAGGGAGTGACAACAGTCACAGACCAGCACTTTGAGCAGCACTGTTCTAGGTGGTGTAATGTAATATTTGTGACATTGATAACTACTTGTTTCAAATATTAAGAGTAAGGGAACAAAAAGTAGTATAAGTATAGACAATCTTTTCATTGTACTCAATAAATATTTTACCATGTAGTTATGACGTGATTATAGTAATATTAGTTATGAGGCCCAAATGTCAGATGTATACCTTAAATGCAGTTACTCTATAAGTGTAGAGATCTAAAAGACATGGGAATTTCTTCCTTAATAAGGAACAACTCTGTGTGCTCATCTGCCTGCCACAGAACTAGAATGGAAAGCAGTGCCTGCAATAATTTCATATGTATGCTAATAGAGATTATATATTATTAGTAGTAGTAATATTAGCATTAAAGTTAAATTGAGTCCCCTTCAGGTTGAGAAGAGTGGGATATAAAAGCAGTAAATAAATAATAATAAATTAAAAGTGTTTTATCACAGACTGATTTGGCATAACACAAAGCATTTTGAAGGAGACATAGCTTGGAGAAATATCTGTACTCATACTGAAACTTTCTTAGTCTCTTTGTGTAAAATGATAATGCTAAGATGGAGTTAAAGTAGTGGGACCCTTTTCATGATCTGGAGCTATGGTACGTTTCTAAGTTTCCTGACTTTTGGAGGCAGATATAGTCTGGAACATGCAGCCCATACATGCTAGTCATTTGTAGCTGTTCAATTCCCTGGCATTTGAGTGTTGGGAATATGTCTTTATATCCTGTTGATTAGTTCATACCAGAGTAGAGGTGTTCAGCGAATTGTTGAACATTGGGTAAAGATAGAGGTAAACCTCATTGACTGAATGGGTCTACTTTAATCAGAACTAACATGAAACTGGCCAATCTGTGTTTACTACCATAACCGCTACAGGAATACTGTTGTGCTCAAATGGCCATATAAAATGTAAAGTAACTGTAAGCTTTCACTTTGGAGTAGCATATCAGAACACCTTGCTTGATTTAGATAGTATGTGAGTGATGTGGTCAATATTATATGATACCTTTTTGCTTTGTGCATGTTTAAAGCATCCTTAACAGACAATCATGTTTGAAGATGTTCGTGATGCAGAAGACGCTCTTTATAACCTGAATAGAAAGTGGGTATGTGGCCGGCAAATTGAAATACAATTTGCACAAGGTGATCGTAAAAGTAAGTGACTCTTCACTTACATATTCCACAAAATGTTTAAGAAATCCACCCTTGTAATGTAAAATGAAAAGTAAAATGCAGAATAAATGTAAAATATATGCAAAGGATTATGTATAGCAGGTGGAGGGACATTTTGTAAATAAGTCAAATAAATGCATGTGTGCTGAAGATAGCAGAGACTATGATTTCCTTGCAATGTTCTAGTTCTGTTTTAAATTCTAGCACCAGGTCAGATGAAATCCAAAGAGCATCACCATGGTTCACCAATGGACTACCGAAGGTCAAGAAGCCGCAGCCGAAGAAGGACCCGAAGCAGAAGTTCCTCATGGGACTGGGGCAGGAGACACTCGGACAGTTTTAGAGAGTAAGTTTGCAGATTGCTTGGAGAGAATACAATAAAATATGCATAAAGTTGTTGTTTGTTTAGAGAATGTACTTTTGGGCATGCATCAGCTGATCTTATTGTGGAATCCACCCTTGGAAAATGTTTTTAAACAAAAAGAATTCTAACCAGCGAGAAGGAAAATACATTAAAGAAGTAAAGTAAGCAAACTGCAGGCCATCTCCGAATTACAAATATCCAACGTACAAATGACACGTAGTTAAGAACTGAGACTTTTGGAAATGGGGGATGAGAGTATAACAAAGCAATGCTTGATGGAGCAATATAAGCAGAGAGGCTGGGCTCAATATTGGTTGGCTCTGCACCATCCGTATTTTGATGGGTTAACAACAACCCTATTGCAGTTGAACAAGAAGACGATTAGAGATAAAATCTTTGAGATGGATGCATCTGACAACTTGTGGGCTAGTAAACAGCAGGGCTTCACTGCTTGGTATCCCCTAATAAAGAGTAACCAATATTGCCTACAATATCTTCAAGATTTAATGTATGTATTTACAGTCCTGCGCTTCCAGACAGTGGCATAAGGCTGGCTAGAGGGGAGATATAGAGGGATTCCGCATGCTCAAGGACTTTGTATTTGTGGGTCAAGGGAAAGAGAAGATTTAATACACTATCTGTTACATTGCCCTTTGTATAATGACCCCTGAAACAATCTCCTGGGAGCCCTTCTAGAGGAAAGGGCAGCATGGCAGTTATCTGTGACCTATTAGCAGATTATTCCAAAAATATAACATTAAAGGTAGCCACATTTGCTTTTGCAGCCCCAAAAATCCAAGTGTAAAGTCCACAGCGGAGGCTAGAAATGGAAATGGAAACAGTTCAGGGTAATACAAATCAGATATTGTTATTGTTATCATGCCTATGAGAATTGTCACTGCTACTGTAATTTGAAAGAACTAGTTTATCGAATAAGTTTTAATGTTTATATTGGAAAGTGTATACTGTACTTTCCAAAGTTGTCCATTATTTGATATCATGGCCTATGGCTAGAACAATAAACAACTCATTCATTCATTTGACTCAGTTAAGAACGGGTGAGGCAACAGGAAGTGAGAGAAATCATCCCCTCGGAAGGGAAATCCACTCCTGAAAAATTTCTCATGGGGGGGAAAGTGTCTCCACTGAAGCTTTCTTACCAATCCTTGTTTCCACAGCAAGCCACTTTCCAATATAAACATTAAAACTTACTGTATAAACAAGCTCTTTCAAATTATAGTAGCAGTGACAATTCCCATAGGCATGATAACAATAACAATTGTCATAGGGACAGAAAAAAGAGGTGAAATCTTATGAACAGGGCCACAGACAGCAAAACAAACACCACAGGGCTGTTTGCCCTTCCCTATGCAATCCAGAGATAGATGGACGGACAGACAGACAGATAGATAGATATGGCTGGAGTTACACTTAAAATGTATCTATCCTGACTTGCTTACAAATCCAACTTAAGAACAAACCTATAGAACCTATCTTGTTCATAACTTTGGGACTGCCTATATTTAGGTTATAGTATTATTTCCATATATAAATAGCGAGACCGACAACCCTTATTTAATACTCTGGGTAATTGGCAGGTTAAGTCGTAGACAGTATTCTTATAGCTAATCTAAGTCTCACTCAATATCTCTTCCAAGGCATTCTGGCTCACCAAGAAGATCAATCACACCCCAAAGAAATTCGAGTCCCAGGAGAAGGTCGCGATCAAAGTCCAACCACAGGAGTTCAAAGTATGCTGAAAAATCACCATCCAGGTCCCATCGAAGGCGTTCCGGTTCAAGAACAAAGTCACGATCGCATCCAAAGCATTCAGGATCTCCAACTAGATCTCTGTCAAAATCTCCTCGGAAACATACTAATTCCAGTTCTCGTTCATACTCTCGGAATTTTTATCAGAGAAATAGTAATCAGTCAGCATCTGAAGAAGATTAATGTCTCTGTTTCTTTTATGACAGTGTTTGTGAGCACAAATTAAAGAAAACAGAAATTTTCAGTTTTTTTAAATGAAAGGTAATTAATGTTGGCCTTGCTTCAATGTGTAAAACTCTTTAAAATTTGTAATACTTTTACAGAAGCATTGATTTAGTATAATCATCCTCTCCTTACTCTAAGAGCCTACTAGTACTTTAGTCCTAAGCCGCATCATCATACTTTGGCAGCATTCTGTGCAGTGATAGTTTTTTTCTGCTGCACTGGAATGGTTTATTTTAAAATCATACTGTCACCACTGTCTTGAAGCTGCCAAAACATAATGACATTATAACTGTGCACTGGCTAGAAGCCATATATAGATCTTTTTCTATTGGTGGGAAGAGTAATACAGCCTGTTTATTTCTCACACAGGTTTTTAATTGTTGTAGTGTAATTATAGTACAAACAAAGCTTTTTTAGAATCTGCTAGAGCTAGAACTGGGCCTTTCACTATGAGTTTTAATACTGGCGGTAATTGAAAAAGGTTGCTGTGTTCCCTTATTATTTTTCTGGGTGTCCTTTCCTTTCTGTAATAAGTAGGATGTGGGTTGCGTGTATAGATTCCTAAATTTGGGCACAGGACCAGAGTTAGGATGGGGTGTATTTCAACTCAGTCTAAGCCTGGAGCAGAATGAAATGCAAATGAAATGGGCACAATACCTTCTAATGCTTAATGTGGATTTAATGCTTTCAAATATTCCTTTTGTAACTAAAGAGAAACCTGCTTCCCTCAAAACAGAAAACAGTCTCAGTAGGCAAATAAGCTAGAATCATGTTTCTTCCTGTGCTCAGATACTGTTTCTAGTGAGTCTTTAAGACAAAGCTGAAGTCTGAATCAACATTAATGCCTGTAAGCAAATCTAATATGCATTGGACTTTTTTTGAAAGAGTTAATTGGTTATAAAAAGTCATTTTGTCTTAATGTGACACAAGTTTTTAAACCCATGTTTTTCATATATGTTGGAATGTTTTTGTGAAAACTCTTTAAATGCTTAATGTTGTACGTAAAACTTACATTTTATTACATTTTCTCTTTTCAAGAATATTGTGAAAGCAGTGTAAAATACATTTTCTTCATGCATTTTTAAAATTCTGTATCCCTTGAACTAGTTTAACGAGCCTGAAAGCATTATTCGGTTATTTTAACTTGTGTAACAGAGGAAATTCTGAAAATGTTTTTTTAGTATATTACATTTGCATTGTGTACATTTGTGTTTAAATGTATGGTAGCTGCGATGTTTGCTACCTTGTAGAAGTCCTGCATAATCTTTCTGTGAAATATGTATTAGTAGTGCATACTCAACAATGTAGTATTTTTATTAAGCAAGAGAATATTTCATAAACTGCAACAGAATATGTCTTTGTGCTGTGTCAGCATTACTCAATATCACACAAAAGATTATACTAAAATGTCCAAGCCAAATGTTAACACCATACTGGTGCATCTCCTGATATGTGCTATATAAATTTAGCAGCTGATATACACAGGTCACACTATAAGATGTAGGTATACTAAAATGTTTGTATATGTTTTGATCATGATTAGGGGACCTTAGAGCCAATTGAACTTTATAAAATTTGTGCTTAGCTTCAGGGTTTGAAACAGCAGTATGAATCAAAATAAAAGTTTATATCAAGCTCTGCTTTATCATGTAGAATGACAGCAAACCACTTTCAAAATACAGAGGAAAGCTTGAGAAAAGCAGAACAGAAATTTTAACAATGGTTTAGAAGGAAAGTATAAAATCCAAAGTGATGATATTGGAAGAAAACATGGGATGTTAGACCTGCATCTGCCACTCTTTGCAATATGCATGGATCTATATGAGAACACAAAAATAAGTTGCTGTGTGTTTTCCAGACTGTATGGCCATCTTCCAGAAGCATTCTCTCGTGATGCTTTGCCCACATCTATGGCTGGCATCCTCAGAGGTTGAAACCCCTCAACCTCTTTGAGGATGCCTGCCATAGATGTGGGCAAAACGTCAAGAGAGAATGCTTCTGGAACATGGCCATACAGCCCAGAAATCGCACAGCAACAGTGATTCTGGCCATGAAAGCCTTTGACAACACATTTGCAAAAGATAGTTGTCACAGTTCCCTTAAGAAAGGCCTCTCCCCTTGTTCTTGTTCCCTTGCTGAAAAGGGTTACTGGTCCTGGGGGTGACCCCTTAAATGTGGCCTCTTGGCTGTGTTGTTATGCGAGTTCTTTAGTTTGAGTATGTGTGACCAGACTCCAATTCAGGTTTGACAGAGAGCCCAGAGGCAGGTTTAAAATGAGAAGGTTTATCAATCTATTTTTAATCTCCACAAGACCAGGGGTAGTTCTCTCAAATCCAAAAACTCAGTTCAAAGACCTGTCCGTCATATTCAAACCCTGTCAGTAGCAGCTCAAAAACGCTGTCTCCTCTCAGAGGCCTCTGCCTTTGGAAACATTCTGTTCCTCTGCAACCTGCCAGAGCTGTGGTTGACTGCATTCAGGCCACACTTAGCACCTCCTTCACAGTGTATACACACAAACACCCCCAAGACACCCAATACCCCATCTCTACATGGCATCATGAAATCTCAATCCCAGATTTGCACTTGAGATTGGCAACCGGGCCCTTATCCCTGCACCCCTCCATAGCAACTGCCAGAGCCTGCTGCTCCTTTGACTAAGAAGGTGAAAGAAGAGCCCAAATGTGGAAGTAAAATGGATTTTGGGCTGGGGAAAAAACAGGTTTCAAAGTGCAGTAGGAAATGGTGCCATACTAACGGACTGTCTGGGGAACAACAGGTTTTTAGGAAGGCTCTGGTCTGATGAATAAACCAAATGTGCGCATGCAACTATGTAAATGGGGGAGGCGTGGGAGTATTTTGTGTAGAAATTATTTGAGGGCATTTTTAAAATAAATGTAAATTTGTTTCATTTTTTAAATAGATTAATTCTCTCGCCTCGCTTTGTGGTACAATTAGGATTCTCTTGCGGGCACGAATTTGAGGATTGTTTACATTCCTTTGTGGCCCTTTTTAAACACACACCCAGGTAATTTGTTATCACACCTTAAGGCTTTCTTTAAAAAAATCCAAATGGGCCTGCAAGGGCTGCTTGTGTTTGTCACAGAGATATCCTGATTGCAGATGGAAATAAACTTGGGGCCTCGGGGGACTATTCAAGTTCAGTTCCTGAAAGCATTTCTCAGAACTCTATTCTCAAATTGGACAGGCTCTTGACTGAATGTAACCTCAGCTGCATCTGACAGCTGCTGTTCCTTCGTTTCTTGGTTTGATAATATGTTTAAATGTCCTATACACTTCAGATGGCCAACATTGCCATCCCTTTCCTTCTATGCCTTAGATTGTAAGCCTGAGGGCAAGGATCTGTTCTTTTGCACTTTTTTGCCTTATAAAGCACCAATGATGACGCAATATAAATAAATGATGATGACAAGTGGGCCCTTGGTATCTGCTGGGACTCAGTTCCAAGACCTTTGGATGAGTAAGTCTGCAAATGTTCAAGTCCCTTTATATCAGGCATGGGCAAACTTTGGCCCTCCGGGTGTTTTGGACTTCAACTCCCACAATTCCTAACAGCCAGCAGTCCCATTATATACAATGGCGCAGAAAAATCATGCCCATAGTATAAGACATATAACAATATAATATTGTGTGTGTGTGTGTGGTTCCAGGAGCCCATGGAGAGATTAAAATCTGTGGAGGCCCAAGTCCCATTAAAGACAATGGTGCAGTAAAACAATGTGCCTTGTATAAAGCGGGAAAGTAAGTTTGCTTTTTGTGGCGTTATGTGTATGTGTGTGTATATATATATATGTACACACACATATACACACACACACATATACACACACACACATTTACATAACTCCTTTTCACATCAATCAACCCCCATAAACTGAGATTCTGATTAAATTCTTCAAATACAATATGGACATTTAGCTTAGTGCTATTTGCTTCTACATATATATATATGGTAAATGTTTCCCCTTGACATTAAGTCTAGTTGTGTCTGACTCTGGGGGTTGGTGCTCACCTCCATTTCTTAGCCGGTGTTGTCCATAGACCCCTCCAAGGTCATGACTGCATGGAGCGCCATTACCTTGCAGCTGGAGTGGTACCTATTGATCAACTCACATTTGCATGTTTTCGAACTGCTAGGTTGGCAGAAGCTGGGGCTAATAGAGGGAGCTCAACCCACTCCCCAGATTTGAATCACTAACCTTTTGGTCAGCAGCTCAGCGGTTTAACCTGCTGTGCCACTGGGGGCGCCTTTATGTATGTATGTATGCGTATGTATATATACACACACTCATACAAACACATTTATATACATATAAGTGTGTGTATACACACAAATATACATACATACGTTTATATTCATATACTAGTTGTCCCGTCATGCGTTGCTGTGTGTATATATATTTGTGTATATGTGTGTTTGTGTATATATGTGTTTTGCACATGTGTGGTAATGTAATTTTTGTTTTTTGGCTTTAGAGTTCCTTCTGCTGTGTTTTTCAGTGTTTTTATGAGTGAAGGTCACTCGTTGACCTGATAGGTATATTGTGTCCAAATTTGGTGTCAATTGGTCCAGTGGTTTTTGAGTTATGTTAATCCCACAAACGAACATTACATTTTTATTTATATAGATCGGATATACGCACACACATATATACATAGACATGTGTGTATCCTATCCGATGCGTTGACGAGCCACTCCTTTGGCCTTCGCACAGATCTACCATCTGTGCGTGTATACCGTGGATAGTTGAATCCGTGGATACCTGGGCCGTATGCAAATATAATAATAGCAACGCTCCAATGAAGGCCAAGATGGCAATTATGACGTCATCCGTGGGAGGGGCGCTCCAGATGCCAGTCCGCCTCTCCACCTGAGACAAAGGGAGAAGCACCTTCCAGGCCAGGCCAGGCGTCCCTCACAACTCGGGGAGAAACAGCGCCTAAACCGAGGCGAGAGCGGGGCAAATCACCTCCTCCCTCTCCCGCCTCAGTCCTGCCTTGTTCCCCGCCCACTTTCCCTTCCTCTTCCGCCGCCGCCATCTCAGGGCGGGCCTCGGCGAGGCCTCCCGCCTTCTCTGAGGAGAGAGGCTGCTGCTCGCAGGCGTGGCCCGCCATCATGTCCCGCTACACGCGGCCCCCCAACACTTCCCTCTTCGTCAGGAACGTGGCCGACGCCACCAGGTGAGCAGCCAGAGGAGGAGGAGGAGGAGGAGGAGGCGGAAGAGAGACAAGGGCCTGACTACTGTCTCCCGCCTTCGGGGAGGAAGGGAGGGAGGGCCTGAGGAGGCAAAGCAGGCCCGAGGCGCCAAGGCTTTCGGTTTCAGTTGGAGTTCAGGGTGGGTTTCGTGGGGGAGGAAAGGGGAGGGGAGCCCCAACAGGACCGCCGCGTGGGGCTTCTTGTTGTCCCTCTGTTGAAGCTGCCCCAAAGGCCCATTCTGTAGAAGGGAACGCAGGGGGCTGCTTTCTGCTCCATCCAAAGGCCCCTCAGTCCTAACTCTCTTCCTCAGTTTTCCTCCCACGATGAGAGCGCTGCCTCCACAGCACACCCCACGCTAAAGGCACGCGCAGCCCTGTCCATGTGTGCGCGTGGCGCCTCCCCAGGGCCCTGCCTGCACCTCCTCGCCCCCCCTCCCCAAATTTCTCTTCTCTCCCTCTCAGTACTGCCCCACTATCTCAGAATCTGGCCCCAGGAGATCTCACTATCCCAGGTTATTTGGCACTGGGGACTCATACACTCCAGTTTAAAGCACATCCTCCCCAGGCAACAACCAGCCAGGCTTTGAAGCTGCAAGGCCATTCAGTGCTAATCAAGGTGGCCAATTGCCATGTGAGACCACACAGAGACAAACAAACCTCCAACAAACCTCAGATCCCCCAGGCAGCCGGCAGCCAGGCTTTGAAGCTGCAAGACCATTAATTGCTAATCAAGGTCACCTGATGAACCAACCTGGACACAGCATATTATTTGAGAACACAGAAATGCTGGGCCACTCTTAACAACTACCCTTTCAGACCACACAGAGAAGCCATTGAAATCCACAAGCATGTGGACAATTTCAAAAGAAAGGAGGAAACCATGAAAATGAACAAAATCTGGCTACCAGTATTTTAAAAAAACTAAAAGCAAAACATTAAATAAAGAGCAACACTCAAAAAATAGTGGAATTCCAGACAAGAATCAATCAGAGCCAGCTAACAAAGCCAGGCTTTGAAACTGCTAGGCCATTCAATGCTGATTGCAATATTCACACCTCCCTCAAGCAGACAAGACTTCTTTCTCCCACCCTGGACATTATTCCACAGATATATAAACCCCATTTGCCTAGTTTCCAGCAGACCTCAGATCTTCCCACGCAGCAACCAGCCAGGCTTTGAAGTTGCAAGGCCATTCAATGCTAATCAAGGTGGCCAATTGCAACATTCACACTTGCCTTAAGCAGACAAGAGTTCCCTCTCCCACTCTAGACATTATTCCACAGATATATAAACCCCCTTTGCCTAGTTTCCAACAAACCTCAAATCCCGCAGGCAGCTAGGCTTTGAAGCTGCAAGACCATTAACTGCTGATAAAGGTCACCTGATGAACCAACCTGGAGACAGCATATTATTTGAGAACACAGAAATGCTGGGCCACTCTTAACTACCATGTCAGACCACACAGAGAAGCCATTGAAATCCACAAGCCTGTGGATAATTTCAACAGAAAGGAGGAAACCATGAAAATGAACAAAATCTGGCTACCAGTATTTTAAAAAAACTAAAAGCAAAACATTAAATAAAGAGCAACACTCAAAAAATAGTGGAATTCCAGACAATAGTCAATCAGGGCCAGCTAATACAATCAGGGCCGGCTAGCAAAGCCAGGCTTTGAAGCTACTAGGCCATTCAATGCTGATTGCAATATTCACACCTCCCTCAAACAGAAAAGAGTTCTTTCTCCCACCCTGGACTTCCACAGATATATAAACCTCACTTGCCTAGTTACCAACGGACTTCACAACCTCTGAGGATGCCTGCCATAGATGTGGGTGAAATGTCAGGAGAGAATTCTTCTGGAACATGGCCATACAGCCTGGAAAACTCACAGCAACCCAGTTTTCTTTCCTGATTCTTGGCAGAGGGTTGGACTGGATGGCCCACAGGGTCTCTCCCGACTCTGTAATTCTATGATTCCGGCCATGAAAGCCTTTGACAACACATTAAAGCAGATAATCTGGGATCAGATCCCGGGATAAAGGGCAATGTGGAAGCACCCCTAGGTTGCCTCTACACTGCCATATCCAGTTTCAATCACCTGATCTGCATTCAGAAACGGGATTACAGCAGCATAGATGGGGCCTTGCAGCCTTCATGTTCCAGGCGTTAGTAGCCCTCCTCTCCATTCCCCCCTTCCTTGGCCTTTCTAATCCCATCTTTGGCTTTCTCGTCCCTTTCCCTGGCTCCTTCCCTTCCCGTTCAGTCTTCCATGATTCTCCTAACTGGACTGGGTTTCTCTTCTCTCCGGCCTGAAGTTCCCCGCGCAATCCTTTCCATTTCCACGGATTTGTTGCAAAGCAGACTTCCTTTTCAAAACTATTCTATTTTTCTGAGTGGAAAGCAGGAAAACGTAGCCTTTCTTCACTGAGAGTTCTTTCTTCCTGTATACACACTGTATGTCCTCATGCATAAGTGGAGGGCAGGTTTTGCAACCAAATTATGGATTTTGATATGACCCCTGGACAGTCAAGGGTCATTTTATAAAGAAAGGAAAGCAACAATGCCATCTCAGGACCAGTTGTGCCTATCTGCTATTTCCCTGTCCAAGGTTTCAAAAGGCCGAGAAATGGTGCCACGGCAGAGCATAGAGGGACTTCTTTTTGCCTCTCCCAGGATGGTCTAAGCTCCTGCCTTCCGCCACTTTGCAGGGAGAAGGGGGTGGTTCCATATTTTTGACTTATGAGACCGTGTTCACATTGACTTGTGGAGAAATCGACGTAGGTTTTTTGGGTTGTCTTTTTGACTAAAATTGCTGGAATATATATTTTATTATCCGGTTCATTGAAAGATGTTTTGGGCCTAGAGGCATACTCAGTCGGGGAATGCAGAATGTGCAAGTTTCTGGAATCTGCTACTTTGAGTTATGCTTTTAAATATGTAAATCTGTATTTTAAAGCTGGAAAGATAAGATCTCTTGATATCCCTGATATTTCTGTTTCCAAATATAGAAGTAGGCATGTAAAGTGTTGGCCATGCCACAAAATATAGCAAAATCCAGAAAATGTAAAAATGTGTATATATATTCTTTAGTGTCAGAAGGGACTTGAGAAACTGCAAGTCACTTCTGGTGTGAGAGAATTGGCTGTCTGCAAGGACATTGCCCAGGGGACACCTGGAAGTTTTACCATCCCGTGGGCGGCTTCTCTCATGTCCCCACATGGGAAGCTGGAGCTGACAGGACAGAGCTCATCCCGCTCCCCAGATTCCAACCACCAGCCATTTGGTCAGCAGTCCTGCACAAGGGTTTAACTCATTGCATTACCGGGGCCTCCAAAAAAACTGTACTGATCATCCCAAGTTCACAAAATATACCAAGCAAGCTGCTTTCAAGTCTCCACTGTCTGTAACTGTGAGACAGTTCAAAGGTGACAATAGAATCATACTGAAGGCCATTTTTGTAAGAGTCCTGTGCCTCTCATTCCAGCGAATGTGGAGGGCTGTTTGTATTTGTGTTCCCAATGATTCAAAAACTTTAATGCTGCCTTACAAGCCTTATGATTATAAACCTGAAGGGCAGGACTTGTCGTATTAATGACCTGGATTTATTGTCCTGAAGGGCAGATAAACTTGGTTGAAATAATAACTGGAGGCTGGACCTTAATTTGTGTTACAAAATTTGGGCTTTAGCGTTGATCCTTTGCACCATCACCGTTTCTTTGTCTTTTACTCTGAGATTCTAAACTACAACTTGGAGAATATTTTTCTCAGCACCTTGCTTCCTTTAGTGTTGCTGCCAGAGAGATTGAAACCAAAGACCTCTTGTGTCTTGAGCTCTTGCTTGCCTTTTGTTCCTGATCCAGGTTATGTCTCCCTTCGCTTTCCACTCTTTGAAAAATTATTTGGTCTAGAATTTCTATAATTATTTGCTTAGAAATTCTGGAAGGACCTCTACACAAAAACACTGTATTTGTGATTAGGTCCTGTCTTAAAAGGATCTTTTCTGATCTCGTCAAAATAAGTGATACTCTCAGGCATTATCTCTTGGCAATAATTGTTTTGCTACAACCAGTTGTGTGAATAAATAATTTTTTTCTTTTGCTTGAATATCTTGCAAGCCAGTTTAATTGGATGACCATATGTTAAAGCATTTCTTGTGTGGGTGGTAAAATGTCTGTATTCTTCCTCAACATACTATTCACACTTTTATAAATACTGCTAATGTTCCAGTCTTAATTATATTTGTTGTAATTTCTTAAAATATGCATCTCCTCCTATAGGGAAAAGGCAAAAATGATCCAAGAAAATGAGAGCAATATTATTTTTAGTCAAAACATTTGGTTTATCTGGCTCGGTATCATTTAGATCAGTGGTTCCCAACCTCATCAGAGGACCAACAATTTCTAGAGAGAGCATTTTAATCAAATACATGAATAATCCACAAAAGTCACACCTGTAAGTGTTGTTTCCTCCAGATAGGAAACAAATTGATTAAGCAGTAGCTAAGATTTCAAGAAATCAACAAGAACAATGGAATTATATGATCTTTTACCATTTTAACTTAAGATAAGTCAAGTGCTACAGCTGGATGTTGTTAAAGCAGACACCACATTACAGAAGCAATAATGTTTTGCCTTTATCTGAAATACTTCAGGCCTGAGGATTTGCGCCATGAATTTGGTCGGTATGGCCCCGTAGTAGACGTGTACGTTCCGCTTGACTTCTACACAAGACGCCCAAGAGGATTTGCTTATATACAATATCCTTTGTGTCACTGCATGTTTGTGAAGATGTCTTGTCTTGCTGCATCCTAATGGAATGTATTTATTTCTTTGTCYCAGAAAATGTAAAGCAGTCCCCAGTGGCTGGCAAGCACCCCAAAGTTTGAATGAACCTGGTTAGATAGAGTCCAAGCAGGCAAGCCAAAAGACACCTTAAAGTCCAAGCTTCRAGGAATAAAGAGGGAGGGTGGCAAAGATAAAAAGAAACCTGGAAGAGGGGAAGTCCTTTCTCAAAGAAAAGACAAAGCCACAACACCAAGTTAAGGCTTCGGCTTTCCGACATTTGCTCGAGTTCCAAAGTCAAAGCCAAGTCTGATTTGGTTGGTTCTCCGGCCCTTGTCAAGTCCATCTAGCAAGCCCTAAAGAGTAAAGGTCAAGATCAAGTGACGTGGAGGTAACTGCCAAAATTTCCTTTTGTATCCTATCATTCAAGCTCTTCCATTTCGATCAAGAACCTGTTTGTTTATAACTGTACTATTTTAAATGTTTCGTCCTTAAAACAGTGTAAGAGGAATGTTTGCAGATATTTGTTTATTTTTCTTTTAATTCCCCAATACAATGGATTTGAGTGGAATATTGGGAAATATCAGTCATTTAGATCAGTGCTTCTCAAACTATCTGATGTGGTGGAACAACAATGGTTATTTTTCAAACGTGGCAGGAATCCTAGGAGCCCTTGTGGTAGAATGGCCTGGGTGTTGGAGTAAGTGCCTGGGAAACTAGAATTCCAATCCCTGCTTAGCCTTGGAAACGCACTGGGCGACCTTAGACAAGCTTGCACAGCATGTGGCCCTCCAGGTGTTTTGGACTTCAATTTCATAATTCCAGACTCTTGGACAAGTTGGCTAAGGGTTCTGGGAGTTAGAATCCAAAACACCTGGAGGATCACAGGTTGTGAAGGTCTGCCTTAGGGTCCTCATAAGATCGCTTTACAACAAGACCACCAGGGACCAGTACATGGGACATATTAATATTTTTATTGTTTGCAGATTGGCAGTTGAGACTTCAGGGGGTGGCAACCATAACTTTGAGCAGCACTGATTTAGATGGTCTAGTGTAATTTTTGTGACATCGACAGCTACTTGTTTTAAATATCAATGCACAACGTTATTTAAAATGTGTGTGTGAAACATACATGAATGTCATGTTCAGACTTTAGTTCCATCACCAGATAGCTCATTATGTATATGCAAGTATTCCAAAATCTGAAAAAAAACAAAGTAGGAACACTTCTGGTCCCAGGGATTTCTCAGGAATACTAAACCTGTATTTTAATTGTTATAATCATCATCTTATTTTTGCATAACCTAGAGCAGTGATTCTCAACCTGTGGATCCCTAGATGTTTTGGCCTTCAACTCCCAGAATTTGGGGGAACTTACACTATGTAGAAACCTCGAACTTGAAGGAGACCTAGCTTGCAGTAGTATCCATACTTTTCATACTAATACTTCCCTGTTTTCTTTGTGTGAAATGTCAATGCCAAGATTAAATTAGTGGGATCATTTCCATGTCTGGGTTTTTGTCTTTTGGAAGCAGCCATCTTTTTCGTTTGCGGGCTACGTATACTAATGAGCTGTAACTGTTTTTAATTCTCTGTTTGGGAATATGTGCCTGATATTCTGTTGGTTAGTCCCAACTAGAGTAGAGGTATTCCATCAGTTGTTGGGTGGTGGGTCAGTATAAAGGTAAATCTCATTGAATGAACAGGTCTACTTTAATCAGGACTAACATGGAATATCTTCCATTCTGTTTTTACTATCATAACTGCTGCAGGAACACCAATGTACTCAAATTGCTGCATAAAGTATAAAATGTCTCTACGCTTTCAGTTTGGAATAGCATATCAGAACATTTTGCTTGATTTAAATAGTATGTGAGTATTGTGGTCAATATTATATGAAACCATTTTTTGCTTTGTGCATGTTTAAAGCATCCTTAACAGATAGTCATGTTTGAAGATGTTCGTGATGCAGAAGACGCTCTTTATAACCTGAATAGAAAGTGGGTATGTGGCCGGCAAATTGAAATACAGTTTGCACAAGGTGATCGCAAAAGTAAGTGACTCTAAGAACTTCACTTACTTAGTCTATAAAATATTAAGAAAGCCACCCTTGCCATGAAAAATGAAAAGTAAAACACATACTACTAATAAGCAACGGGTGGAGGGACACACTATAAATAAGCCAGAAAATGCATGTGTGTGGAATGTACAGGAGACTGCAGTTTTCTTGCAATGTTCCAGTTCTGTTTTAAATTCTAGCACCAGGTCAGATGAAATCCAAGGAGCGTCGCCAGTGTTCACCAGTGGACTACCGAAGGTCAAGAAGCCGCAGCCGAAGAAGGACCCGAAGCAGAAGTACCTCGTGGGACTGGGGCAGGAGACACTCGGACAGTTTTAGAGAGTAAGTTTGCAGATCTTGATAATAAATATGAAAAAAATTGCTTTTTATTCAGAGAACTTACTGTTGGACATACATCGGCTAATCTTATTGTGGAATCTGACCCTGAAAATGCTTTTAAATGAACAGGATTCTAACTAGACAGGAGAAGGAAAATGTGTGTACAAACGGTTAGTGGCTCTGCTTCATGATTTCAAGGGATCCAAATCATGAATATACATGATTTGGATCCCTTGGCTAGCTATTCTTAGATATGGAAATTTAGGCATTTGTTGAATCTTGACATTGGGTTAATGTCATCTGCCTTTTTTCCTATACTGGTCCCAGACTTGTTATACCAATCACAAAAAATTAAAGCTTTATTGCGATTATTTTAAAATAGTTGGGGCTTCGTCTTGGTTAAAATAAGAAAACAAAACTATATCTAACAAATAAAGTCAGCACACTATTTAGGTCACAGTATTCCTTCCATAAATAGATAGCAAGATCTACAAACCTTATCTAATACTCTGGATGATTTGCAGGTCAAGGCGTAGACGACATTCTTACAGCCAATCTAAGTCTCGCTCAAAATCTCTTCCAAGGCATTCTAGCTCACCAAGACGATCGATCACACCCCAAAGAAATTCGAGTCCCAGGAGAAGGTCGCGGTCAAAGTCCAACCAGAGGAGTTCAAAGTATGCTGAAAAATCACCATCCAGGTCCCATCGAAGGCGTTCCGGTTCAAGAACAAAGTCACGATCGCACCCAAAGCATTCAGGATCTCCAACTAGATCTCTGTCGAAGTCTCCTCGGAAACATAGTAATTCCAGTTCTCGTTCATACTCTCGGAATTTCTATCAGAGAAATAGTAACCAGTCAGTATCTGAAGAAGATTAATGTCTCTGGGTTTTTTTATGACAGTTTTATGAGCAAAGAATAAAAAGAGCAAAAATCTCCGAGGGTTGTTTGAAATGAAAGGTAATTAACTGGTGATGGCCTTGTTGTGTTGTCCTTTTGCTTCAATATGCAAAACTCTAAGATTTCTCTTACTTTTAAAGAAAATTTGATTTTCTCTTTTATTTACTCTTTATGTTCCCCTCATTTTTGTAAATTGGCCCCATTTTGTCCAGTTGTACAGTTTTTGCAGCTACGCTAAAATGGTTTATTTGTTTAAATCAGACTGTTGTTACTGTCTTGACGCTGCCAAAACCTAAAGATATTACAATTGTGCATTGGCTGGAAGCTGTGCAGAGAGCCTTTCTAGTTTGATGGGAAGAGCCATACAGTCTGTTTATCGTTCACAGTGTAATTATAATATAAACAAGGGTTTTTCACTTGAGTGTATTTTCACTTGAGGTAGGATTGGACCTGCTATATTCCAGTTCACAACTTTTCTTGTCTTTGTTTTCTTGTGGTACTGAGAATATAAAATTCTATTTTGAAGATAGCCCTTCTTAGATGTTCCTCAATTAGGTCTTAATACTGAAGTTAGCTGGTCTGTTATCAAGATACAGAAGTAGTTCAGAATTTGTGTAACATAGGAGTAGTCTGAGTCTCACATTTGTCAGACTGTCATTTATTAAGATGTAGCCTATATTAAAAAAGAAACATAGCAGTTTCCCTTTCATCTTCCACATTGTCTAAACTTTATATACACCAGCTTCCAAATCCAGAGATCTCTGAGCTCATAAGTATTTTTGGATCTCCTCTTTCCCTGCCAAATTAAGGATTGGTAGGAGGAGGAAAGAGTGCCCTGGTATCCTTCCTTTATTGTAATAAAAAAATGTGGAATGTTTGTGTTGATTTTTAAACTACGTAAACCAGAGGCACAGAACCAGAGGTAAGAAGTGGTATATTTTAGCTTGATCTAAACTTGGAGCAGAATGAAGTGCAAATGAAGAGGTAAAATACATTCTAAAACATATGATAATGCATTGAAATGCTTCTCTAGAAATGGGACACCACCTCAGAGACAAAAATCTTAAACTAAAATCTTGCTTCTTCCTGTGCTCATGCCCTATTCCTAGCAAGTCTTTAAGGTAAGAGAAAACTAATGTGTGATCATCCACACATTTTCTTGTGGATGTAAAAAACGTCTTTGTTTCTGTTCCACAATCCTGTAGAGAGAATGATCCTGTTGTCAGCTAGTGGATCAACAATAATGCCCATTACTAGGCAAATCCAAATAGCTTTGGACATTTAAAAATGATAATTGGTTATATAAGGTCATTTTGTCATCACTGTAATATAAGTTGTTAGACACATGTTTTTCAAGTATGTTGGAATGCTTTTGTGAAAGACTCTTAAAACAGTTAACTTTGTAGTGTGAACTTTCAGTTTATTGCATTATATCCTTTCAAAATATTATATTAGGAGAGAAGTGTAAAATACACTTTAGGTCATTCATTTTTCAAAATTGTGTATCCCTGGGACTGTCTTTAACAATTGAACTGCTGAATTTAAAATTATTATTATTAGATTGTTTTAACTCACGTAACTGAGGGAATTTTGGAAATATTTTGTGTTTAAATATACGGTAGCTGTAGTATTTGTTACCTTGTACAAGTTCTGCATTGTAGCACAATACTATAATGGCAGTAAAATGAGGTTTCACTTCATAAGCAAGAATACAGTTTTGTGTTCAGGGCTATTGTTAGTTTATAACTTAAGAGTTTTTTTTTTTCAATAAAACACTTGATGTTTCTTTTCTTTGTTTGTAAGGTAGTTTGCTATTTTTCTTACATGGAAGAACACTGGTGAGCAACATTCATCTTTGGATAGGTAAAAAAGGGGCAGCATATTAGAAGTGTGTAATTAGGCATATTATGAAACGTGGCTGAAGAGACATTTTCTCCAACTCTGATACTACAGAGCCCAGAGGCATCCATTGAAGCCGAATTGTAAAACGTTCAACAGAGATTAAAAAAACCAATGCCCTACTGTCAGTAGAAATACTGTTGAATTCTGTACTCCAATACATTGTGATGATCACAGATTGGATCAATTCACGACAGATGAGCCTACTAGTGGTTGCTAATCATGATAGGTATACCGTATATACTCGAGTATAAGCTGAGTTTTTCAGCCCTTTTTTAAGCTGAAAAAGCCCCCGTGGCTTATACTCGAGTCAAAGTTATTTATTATTTTACTGGATTATTATTATTATATTTACATTTACTCTATTTATTATAATTACATTTACATTACTCTATTTTTATTATTATATTAATTATTTTACTTTATTATATTTATTATTTTGCTCTTTATTATTGTGATTATTATTTTACTCTATTGTTCTTATTACATTTATTATTTTACTCTTATTACTGTTATTATATTTCCCTTATTTTATTCTGTTATTTTTTTGCATTTATTATTGTACTCTATTATTATTGGAAGGATTTGTAAGCACATTTACATTGAAGAAGGTTAGAATAATGGTTTAATCAGAGTTGGACAGTCTTATCTTAAATTAGTTTTATGCATCTTCTGTACCTAATCTTATATTTTAAATGTCAAATCCTCATTACAACAGGCAAAACAGACTCTTGCATTTACGTAGAAAGAAGCACAATTGAACAAAGTCATTTATTTCTGTGCAAACACATAAGATCATGCAATTAATTGTCATCTTACTTTGATCATGATGATCAAAGCCATGCCTGAATAAATTGTCTATGTGCTTAAGACAGAGAAGATGAAAGAATCTTTTCAACCTTCAGACAATCTCCTGTAAAGTTGCAAAGATGGCTCATTCTTTAGTGGCTGATTGATGAGGTAGGAGCCCCTTGTGGTGCAATGGGTTAAACCCCTGAGCTGCTGAACGTGCTTACTGAAAGGTCACAGGTTCAAATGTGGGGAGCGGGTGAGCTCCAGCTGTTAGTCCCAGCTTCTGCCAACCTAGCAGTTTGAAAAAACTGGAAATGTGAGAAGATCAATAGGTACCGCTCCGGCAGGAAGGTAACGGTGCTCCATGCAGTCACGCCGACCACATGATCTTGGAGGTGTCTACAGACAATGTTGCCTCTTCGGCTTAGACATGGCGATGAGCACCAACCCCCAGATTTGGACTTGACGACTTAATGTCAGGGGAAAACCTTTACCTTTTTACTACCTGATGCAAGTAATAACAGGCTACTGCAACCTCATCTACATGTCTTGTACTAAATTGGAATCAGTTCTTAGCTAGAGAAAACACTGCTTTTAATACCATTTGATGCTGTTCATGGTTACAATTTGTTTAGAGCTTTTGCTCTTAAAAGCCATTGTTGCTGAATTATTTCCAAGAGCAGTCTAGGAGTTTTCTGTCAAAACAAAGCCTTGTAATATTGAAGCTTCTAGTCCTAAATGGCCAACACAGAAGAAATCCGCTAGAGGGTGCTCAAAACATTTTGCACATGTCAAGAGCTCTCTTTCTGTAAACAACATGTCTCCCTTTAAATTAAATATATTTTTAATTATCGAAAAGGACAAGCATATGCTTAATGAGGCAGAGGAAGGAATAGAGTGCCATAGGCAAAGGAATAATATTTATTCCCTGCCAAGTGGAGAGGAGTGTGGAAACATATTTTAGACAAGGGAACATATGAGGAAGCCTGGGACGTGAAACATTTCTCGCAAAAGGGGCCAACTCTGGCTGATTGAATTTGTGTGGTATGTGCTGCTCATGAAAAACAGGTGGCCATGAAAACTAGGCCCTTTGACATGGTCTCTCTTCAAATCCTTACAAAGTTACCGCAAAGAAATGCTTTTTCTGTAGTCACCATTTTTGTCTGAAAAAATACCCTGAAGATTTATTCAAGTATAGACCGGTTTTTTCAGTTTATCCAGAGCACAGAAGCTCTGTAACACATCTTCATCTGTGCATAATATGCAAAACACACACAAACCAAAATTAAAATACTCCTAAGCACGTAACACCACTCATAATGCAGTTTGATACCACTTTAATGGCTACGGCTCAATGCTGTGGCATGATGGAAGGTGTGGTTTGGTGAAGAAACAGCACTGTCTGGCAGAGAAGGCTAAAGGCCATGTTAAAACGACATCTCCCATGATTTTGTAGCATTGAGCCATGGCAAAGTGGTGTCAAACTATCAATTTTACAAATGCATCCATCTGTGCATGTCATCTCTATTTCATCACCAGAAGCCCCTGATGGCACAATGGGTTAAACCCTTGTGCCGGCAGGTCTGAAGACTGACAGGTCGGAGGTTCGAATCTAGAGAGCATGCGGATGAGCTCTGTCTTTCAGTTCCAGCTCCCCATGCGGCGACATGAGAGAAGCCTCCCACAAGGATGGTAAAACATCAAAAACATCCGGGCCTCTCCTGGGCAACGTCCTTGCAGACGGCCAATTCTCTCACATCAGAAGCAACTTGCAGTTTCTCTAGTTGCTCATAACATGAAAAAAATCATCCCTATGCATGAGCAATTATGTATCTGCATAGGCCTTTCCCTAGCTCTCCTAAAAAATTCAGATATTGTTGAAGGCTTTCATGGCCGGAATCACTGGGTTGTTGTAGGTTTTCCGGGCTATATGGCCATGTTCTAGAGGCATTTTCTCCTGTTGTGTGATTTGGTTTTACCTCTGAGGATGCTTGCCATAGATGCAGGTGAAACGTCAGGAGAAAATGCCTCTAGAGCATGGCCATATAGCCCTGAAAACCTACAACAACCCAATTCAGATATTGTTGCCTGTCTGCAATTCATATATTGATCAAATGAATGGAGGTGTGTCTGTACCTTGCAATACAATTGCTGTGCCAGCCTTCGCAAGATTAATGATCAAAGAACTATCAAGGCTCTTTCTGGACTTCTGTTTCTTTTATTTATAGGAGCCATTCAGACATTCAACTGAAACACCCAACATTGTAATAGTTGGCAAAGGTTGCTAGCAGTTGTAGTTTAGAAGCGCTTTGTTCACCCTGGTTTTGTTTATGTATTTATTTACAGTATTTATATTCCGCTCTTCTCACCCTGCAGGGGACTCAGGATGGATTACGATGCACATATACATGGCAAACATTCAGTGCCATTAGACATACAACATATATAGACAGACACAGATCGATTTAACATTCCAGCTTTCCGGCTTCATAAAGGTGTGATCGATTTTGGCCACAGGAGGAGCTGCCACTTCACCGTCCACTTGGGACACTGAGTCCTTGATGGAGTACTTCCTCATTCTTATACATGTTGCTGGAAAGTTTAATGGTGTCATAAATTAATTAAATTAGCCTCCCCGCATAAAGTGGTACCTAAATTTCCTACTTGACAGATGCAACTGTCTTTCGGGCTGCATAGGTCAACAACAAGCTAGACTATTAATGGTCAGGAGCTCACTCTGACCTGGGCCGGCTTCGAACTCATGACCTCTTGGTCAGTAGTGATTTAATGCAGCTGGCTACTAACAAGCTACACCACAGCCTGGTCCTTACAAGCTTCACCCTTCCCGTGTTAATGAAAATTAAAACAGCAATTAATGTCTGTAAAAATTATATTCAAATTACAGGAAAAGATTCCACCTAAACATTAGGAAGAAATTCCTGATGGTAAGAGCTGTTTGGCAGTGGAATATACTGTCTCGGAGTGTGGTGGAGTCCTTTTATCTGGAGTTCCATTATCAGACTGGATGGCCCTTTGTCGAGGGTGCTTTGATTGTGCGTTTCTGCATGGTGGAATGATAGTGGATTTCACTATCACTGCCATTATTGCATCCTATAAAATTGACTGGTTGCTCTGACACGACAAACAAACAAACAATCCTATAAAATCCCAAGATTTGTAGTTTAAGGAGGAGTATAGAATTTGCTGCCAGATGATCCTTCAAACTACAAACCACAAGACCCATAGGATGTTGCCACGGCAGTTAAAGTGAAATCATACTGCTATAACTTGGTTGTGTGAAAGGGACCCTGCCAACATGAGTTCTGGAGATGAGCCAGCCAAACATAAAGTGATAAGTGCTTTTAGAAAATAATGAAAAAACTGTCTCTCCAATATTACCAATACCTCAGGCATTGGGACTCAATGATGACTTTGCATCCAGAGTATGTTTTGCAATATAACCATCTGTTTAGAACAGCCAGTAGGGAGTTGAAGTCCAAACACCCGGAGAGTCGAAGTTTGCCCATGCCTGGTTTAAAACAAAATCAGTAGGCCTAAAGAACACAGCTTTCAATGTGAATGGTGACAGTCCAAAGAAACATACCAAAGCAGACTTCCTAGACTTACCCGAGTCAGAAAGCTCGCTATTGAATATGATTCCACAGTCAACCTGGGCCCATTGACCCATAATATATATCGCCAGACAACATAAACAGCAGAAGGCTTATCTGTGATTATCCTTTAAATATCCTTAAATATTGCTTTGAGTTGCTGTGTTGTAATTTTCTTTGTTTCCAGCTTCATATGAAGGAACTGAAAATATTTTGGTAGACCAATACGCAATTATTGAAATAAAAATGACATTTTTGACAGTACAGGAAAGCTAATTTCTGTTTTCATCTCTGTGCTGTATTTCTTGCATGTTACATACATGTAAATCACTTAACACATGAAAATCATTCTGGAAATAAATATAATTCCAGACTATATGCAGAGACCATTTGTAACACTAATATATTAGACCAATAACTCTTAATATGAGTAAACTAACTGTGTAATATTGCAGTTTGAGAATGAAGTAACACTATGAGAATATAACTACAAAACCTCCTTAATTTTTTGGGCAGTTAATAGAATTATTTATACTATATGCTTTGAGAAGTTGTATGTAACATTTGTGGGTAACATCAAAGTGACTAAATTTTCAATCTAGTATTTTGTGGATAACATGCTTCTGGAGTGTGACTATTACCATACTTACTTAAGTCTAATGTGCCATCGAATTTAATGTGCACCTCAATGTTCAAAACTCTGAAACCAAAAAAAAAGGATTTGCTGCTGAATGTAATGTTCAATGGCAAAAATGTGTGTTCTGTAATTTGGCCCAAAAAAGTGTGCATTACTGTTGTTGCCTGCTTAAGATTTCTTTGTTATAAACAATAGTGTTTGGACACTAAAGCTTCCATTGGTGGAAGGGAAAACCTTGAGATGTATCTATGGCATTGTAGAATGAATCCACTAAAATTGCCTTGGTTCAATGCTATGGAAACATGGGGGCTGTAGTTTGACAAGATCTTGAATCTTCTCTGCCAAGGAATCTGGCCATCGGTCGGGGGTGCTTTGAATGCGATTTTCATACTTCTTGGCAGGGGGTTGGACTGGATGGCCCGTGCGGTCTCTTCCAACTCTGATTCTATGAATGCTGATGCCTCACAAATGAGCCACCGGTGGCGCAATGGATTAAGCCCTTGTGCTGGCAGGACTGCTAACCAACAGGTCAGTGGTTTGAATCAAAGGAGAGCGGGTTGAGCTCCCTCTGTCAGCTTCAGTTCTCCATGAGAAAAGCCTCCCACAAGGATGGTAAAACATCAAACATCCGGGCATCCCCTGGGCGGCATCCTTGCAGATGGCCAATTCGCTCACACCAGAAGCGACTTGCAGTTTTTCAAGTCACTCCTGACATGAAAAACAAAAAATGACTTATCCCAGGATTGCATAGCCCTAAGCCATGACAAATACATTAGAGATGACATCCCTCAGATAGAAGCTCCAGGTGCAGTGCCTGAAGCAGCTTCTCCTTTCGCTTTGGCTAAACACCATTACCATATGATGCAAACCTAAGGCCCACCCTGATTTTGGCAACATAATTTAGCCAAAAAAAAAGGTGACCATTTGAGTAAATACAGTATTTGGCTTGGAAACAGATTTGACTTCAGATCCACGCCATAATGCATTGAAGTTGAGAAATGCTCTAGAAAAATGCACTAACCTGTACCAGACCAAAAAAAAAAATCTGAATATTAATCCATCTGAATACTTACATTACTCAAGAGTTTCTTCTTCCATTTATGTTCTTAGGTTCTGCAGTGAGCTTTCAGATGAATCTTATCAATTTGTGTTGTGGATAGTATTCTTTTACATTTCAGCACCTTTTCATCTTTCTTCTACTTAGGTATTTTCAGTACACCGAAATTAACAGCAACTTATTTTCCAATGTGGAATTTCATTCGACAACTCCTACATGTTTCATCCTTTCTTCTTACAGATTAACTGCAATACCCCTTCAGATAAGCAGAAACGTATCTTGCAGCCCTCAATAGTAATTTGAATGTTTGATGTTAAGTCATGGGGAACAGTACAGATGTGTTCCTTCTGCATACGTTATCTTCCCTTTTCAGATCTAGTACCGGAAACCCTAAAAGAATCCCACACCTTGTGTGACTGTGGAGCAGAACAGACAACTCCGCATCTGTATGATTGTCCACTATGCCCTGCCTCATGTACAGAGGAAGAATTGTTGGAGGCTACAGACAATGCCATTACTGTTACCAGTTTTTGATCAAAAGATATTTAGCTACCTGCACTCCTTCTATTTTGATAACTTTTATACTAATTTATGCAATGCTTTTGATTCGAAATAAATAAAACTGGAAACTGGGCATGTGTTGCTTTTCTGTACTTCTCTCTTAAGAGGAAGGAGGGTGGAAAGCTTTTTTATATCTATTGCAAGGATCCAGTGGTATACTTTCAGCAGATTCATTTGCATCCCTCCGAATCATTGATCAATTCCTTATTGTGCCCTCTCTCCCGAGATGACCTAAGACCTCCTCCAGAGAACTTGAAAGCTGTCCGGAGCAGTTTTTGGCCCTGTAAGAAAAGGGAAGGAGGGCCTGATTTCATATTGGTATTGGATACCAAAGTACACCATTAGCCTATTCTTATACTTCTCACAGTGAGCACACAACTAGAGCTGGTATCCTAGAGTGGCGTACCTAAAACCAACTAGAGAGCTATTATAATTTATGCAGCTTCTTGAGAGAAAACTCCACTGGGTTCATATAATCTCTCTCTATAAAAGTCAAAGTATGCCTGGCTGTCTCTCAAAGCCTGTTGCTGGGCGAAATCAGCTTTCCTGATGTGACTGGGTAATACTGATGATATACGTGAAGGAAAGAGCCACAAAGAAAGCCATGTTGCCATGGAGACATTGTGAAGTAGGCCCTCTCAGAAGGGAGTAAGGGCAGGGAAGGAAGGAAAGAGAAAAAGAAAAGAAATACAGGAAAGGAAGGGGAGGAGAACGAAAAAGATTGGAAGGGATGACAAAAGGGAAGGAAAAAGGAAAGGAGAAGGGAAGAGGTATGAGGGGAAGAAAAGAGAAAGAAGGTAAAGTGAAGGGGATGGGCAGTGGCTCATTTCACACTCAGGCAACTCTTGAGTACATATGGTAGAGGTAAAGATCTCCTTTGACATTAAGTTTAGTCATGTCCAAATCTGGGAGGTGGAGCTCATCTCCATTTCGAAGCCAAAGAGCCAGCGTTGTCCGTAGATACCTCTAAGGTCATGTGGCCAGGATGACTACATGGAACCCCGTTACCTTCCTGCCAAAGCAGTACCTATTGATCTACTCACATTTTGCATGTTTTCAAACTGCTAGGTTGGCAGAAGCTGGACCTAACACTGGGAAGCTCACCCCGTTCCTCGGATTCAAACCGTTAACCTTTTGGTCAACAAGTTCAGCAGTTCAACCTGCTGTGCCACCAGGGAGCCAAATGGTACATATGCTAATTTGTACTAAAGTATTCAACAGATATAGAAAGGTCAGTAAAGTGTAGTGAAAGCTCTTACAAAGTAACTGCAACGTTTAAAACATGAAGTCACACCCCTGACAAGACATTAGGATACCTCATATATAACACACACTATTCATTCAGCTGGAAGAATTCACAAAGAAAGACAACCAAGTGTGGGGAGGCCAAATTGTTTTATTTAAACTGTGCTTTTTTGTTTTTTAAAAATAGCCAATTATTTCTGGCAGATAGCCTTGCTCTTCTCTTTTGTTAGAGAATAAGCAGTGCTAAGTTTTGGGGGATTTTGTAAATCAAATTCCAATTTTATCTTTGCAAGGAGCAATTGAATTAACTCCATAAACAATTTCAAACAAATTCATAATTTTTATGAAAGCTTCTTATGCAATGAAGTCTTGTGCCACCAATTTGAAAAATGTTCCAATAGTGCATCACTTATATTTTCACATTTCTTTTTTTTAACCTTGAGATGAGCGGTTTTTACAAAAATCTCAGTACCTTGTGCAAACATTGTCAGGTCTTTCCATATGTCAAGTGCACATGAGAAGGTGTCCATTATTATATACAAAACCACTGACCTCGTGGGCAGTGTAAAATACATCCTTTCATAACAAAACTAAAATGTAGTTCAAAATATGAATATACACATTACATGATATACACTATTTACACAACCATAAAAAATAGAGGACAAGTTTGTGATTTTAAGACGTGACAGTCTTCTGGACATGATTTTGCAACAAGGTTGGTTTCAGATGCCTAGTACATTCACTGTAAATATCCATGAGCTAGGCTTGGACTTTTAACAGAGTTTTTAGATGGACTGCCATCATCTCCTTGTTTTGGTCAGAATATTCAGCATTGCTTCCTACCCAATGACTGGGAGGCTTTGGAAGGACACTGGGTGAAGGAGGGTCACTAAATTTTGCCCCAGCATAGTTTGCTTTTTGGCTGGCTTCAGTCAGAAAGTTGGGTTTCTTCAGTTTCACATTTTCTGTGGTCTTCAGGGGCTTCTTTTCCTGCTTTTTAATGAGTTCAGGCGAGACAGATTCTTGCCAAAAGTTATTTTCACCTTTTTTTGTAGCTGAGACTTTGTTTACCGGTATATTACATTTGTTCCTCTGTCTGTTTGTCTTTGATTGCTCACAAAGATGCATACCATGGGCAGGCTGATTTTCGGACTTTCCCAATCTGTTTTTTAACAACTGAAAAATAAAAATAGAGAATCCAATAAATATTTAACTATAAATGCACTTACTGCCTCAAAGGTATTTGTTATCCAAGGATAATATCCATTATACGATTATGTTAACTGTGATTATGTATATAACCAACCTATGTACAAAGCTAGAGGTACAGCAAGACTCGTATGCCTTCCAAAGCACCTGTCAACATATCATTTTCTTACACAGGCAACACTTAAGAACCATTCTGAATTGGACCAAAGGGCTTTCCGTGGCCTGTTGCTACAACAAATATCCAGCCTATCCCCCCAAAACTGTGACACAAGGGAGCTCAAGAAACCCTTTCACACAGTAAAAGACATACAGCAATACTATAGGTATTTTATTTTTTTCAAACAATATCCAATCTTTTCACACTAACCTGAATATCTTCCCCTCCATGAATCTGCCTAATTTCCCTTTAAATACTATTCAGGTTGGCCACCTCTTAGAACAGTGAATTCTACAGTTTAGTTTGTAAAGAAATACTTACTTCTATTTCTAACATTGAGCTCCAGTACAGAGTACCAAAAATGAAGAAGAAAAGTTTCTGTGTGTCCATATGAAATGCTTGCAACTCATTGCCTGCAGCACATCTGTCTATATCAGTGGTTTCCAACCTTTGGTCCATGGACCACCAGAGGTCAGCAAGAACTAAAATGATGTCAGTGGCCTTATCGTTACTATGCCGTTGTAACTAGAGCAATTGGTCTTGCGAAACCCTCTTATAGTGCTGAGGATTATTAAATATGGTTTTCTGTGGGCGAGCAGATGGCAACTACTGGGTGGCATATGTTGTGTTATCAGAAACTAGAGCTGATGTGATCTATCCAATGCAATTTTCTGAATTAACACCCCAAATAACCAAACCGAATCTAAAGTTAACAAAAAAAAACCTGATTCGTAACCCGTACTAATGTTGGAGAGTAGTCCCTGGTCAAAATAAGGCTGGGAACAACTGATCTATATTGCCATTGAAAATATACTGACATAGTTGAGGCAAGATTGACTAATGTTATTTCTCATAATTTGATCTGAATTTCTAATGCAGATATGGGATAAACCCAACTAAGAAAATCAAAGAAGTTGCTTCTAATTCTTGTAAGAGAAATTATTCAGGGAATTGAGGAAGTGTATGAAAAAACACATCTGATTCGTTATTGTTTTACATAAAAACTAACCCCACCAATTTCAATGCCTGAAACAGTGCAGAGACTCCTTGAGAAATCCAATGTTCCCTGCCTTTAAAAAGGACAGTTGGTTCACACACGTCAGGGACATCCTGGATCTCAAGAGGAGCTGCTTTTCTGCTGCTAATGGGAGTTGAAATTGTATTACCAGTCTTGTATTACCCTTTGTCCCTAATCCCCACATGTAGCCTTTGCTTGTGCTGAGATCCCTCCAGAACATCTTAACTGACAGCTGAAATAACTTAAGAAACAAAATCATGTTACACTCTACCTCACCCCCAGAACTGTATAAAATGTTAACTGTATTTATATGTCGTATCTCGTTTATTGCGAATGTGCCAATGTGTTGTATTGTATCGGATATTTGTATTGAATATGTGGCATTGAATTTTGCCAAACTGTAAGCTGCTCACCCTTTGGGGTGAGATAGAGTGGGACAGAAATATAGTAAATAAATAAATGTGCTTTATACCAGAGGCTTTAATATCACCCTACATGACATCTGAAGAAGCATATTTATATCAGTATGAAAGGAGTCACATCCCTTGCATCTCTTCCTTTCATCCTCTTTTTGGAATGTAAATCTGTGATTCTGATGCCTTCTGTATGATTTAAGGCGAAGGAGCCAGTGAAGCTTTGAAAATGAGGTATTTTAAACATTTTGTGCAATTTTGGATTTTTGTTGTATTTTGCTATATGGCCAACACACCAACACTTGAGTAATTTTCCTGGTCTTTTCCCCCATATATAAAAACGATGCATTGGAACTGGCACAGGCTCCAATCCAGTAAGATTTATCACAGTAACCAAAATATCTACCTGGCTGCAGTTTAGAAACAGAAGGTGGAATTGCAGGAAACTACAGCGTGCCCTATTCTGCGCCAAACATAGTTATGATTTGCCAGTTGTTATGGGACAGAAGAAATAGGAAAACTTCCTTAAGGGTTGCCCCACATTTTCTACTCCAGCAGGAAGTACCTGCTAGGGAGGATTTGTCCGGCCTAAGCTGGACACAATGTCTTATAATTCACTATCGGGTTTTGGAATTGCAAATGATCTATCCTCATTTCTTGTCTCACCAAACTTTTAAAATCTGTATCCTCGAGGGAAGGGAATGCCTTTTGTTAAATGTTTGAGCAGTTTTGTTGGCATATTGTAGTGACACACTATGTGACATACAAAAACATACATTAGAGCAATGGAATATCCCAATGACGGCAGCATAACTGGAGGGTGCATATGGGACCACTATGCATTCAGTATGCATGTGACCATGGCATTGCCTTTGTATATTTACTATCCATACAGCATTTGCAGTATGGGTAACCAGTCATATGCATTTACTATTGATCCACATATGGTGACTTGGGTTTGGTATTCATAACAAAGAAGCCCCTCACAGGATGGTAAAATATCCAAACATCCCGTGGACAACGTCCCTGCAAAGGGCCAATTCTCTCACATCAGAGGCAACTTGCAGTTTCTCAAGTCGCTTGTGACATGAAAATAATAATAACGGGTTACGTAACATTGTTAACTCCACCATCAGAGGTGACGTAGGATCTCAACCATGATGTGTCATGAATGCAGGATAAAAATATAAATAAAGGAAAGAAATACACTTCAGCAAATGCAAGAAAAGCCCAACTTAAATTATTATTGTTGTGCATAATGGGTATATAAGCAAAGTAAATAAATAAATAAATAAATAATAATGGTGTTTTGTTTAGATTTATTCAGATGAGGTTTATTATCGCCTTCCTCTCAGGCTCAATTGCAGGCATGATAACTCAATAATATGTTAAAGTTATTTCAATGGTCTTTGTTTTCACCCACATGTGTATGCATTGGATTGTGATCTAATATTGTCAAAATGACAGTACCAGGAAAATAAAAGGAATGTTCTATAGTAAGTCAGACTGCTGCAACATTTAAACATTTGGGTATTTCCAAATTCACTGGACAGCTATTCCATCTTTTCCTTCTTAATACATGTGTGGCAAGGAGGGCAGAATGAGGGGGGGGGGAGAGGAAACAGTAACACCAGTACAAATGTGACACACTAAGTTTCTTGAAAACTCTATAAATGAGGAAGGTTGAATTAAATTTTTTATCTAGAAGCAGAAATTTGTTTTTTTAAGACAGGCAACAAAATTCCCAAGAGATCACTGGAACACAGTTCACATTAGAAAGATATCAACTACAATCCCAATAATGCTTCTGAGAAGTAAGCTCCTCTAAAATCATTAGAAATGTTTTCTGAGGGAACAAAGGACAAACACTGTTTGATTCCAATAGTCTACTGATTGTATGCAATTCCAAACTGCCCTGCAGCTATATAGACAAGATATACATTTTAAAAATAACTGTTAGATCTGCATCTTTTAAGTACAGATTAACAAGAGATCTGTCTTAGGACCCTTCCAGACAGGCTCTTTATCCCAGGATCTGATCCCAGGTTTTCTGTTTATCCCAGATTATCTGGCAAAGTGGACTCATATAATTCAGTTTAAAGCAGAAAACCTGCGATGAGATCCTGGGATACAAGGGCAGTCTGGAAGGGCCCTCAAATTACTCCCCAAAAGGCTAGATCACAAATATACAGTTCACCTTTCTTCAGAGGCAGTGTTTCTTAAACTATCTAATGTGGGGACCAATATTTTCCTTCTCCGATGTGTTGTTTATATCTATTTCTCCATTTACTTCCAATTATATTGCACTGCTTTTTAATAACTTGTTTCACAATTGTATTGCGTTACTTTATTTACACTACTCCTTCCTTCCGCTGCATGCACAAATATACATATGCAAGATTTCAGAATGTCTGTCTTTGGCAAGGCTGGGTTTTTGTTTTGTTTTTTTATTGTTGTGTTACCTTCTCAACAAGATTATATAACAAAATTTAAACTAAAATTCCAAAAGGATTTGGAAAAAGGGGAAGGCTTGTGTGAGATTTAAAGGCAATGCACGCTGATTGTGCTATATAAATTATTACAGTTTTAGCATCCTAAATGCTCAAAAATCCGTAACTGTACCCATGTGTGACTGAGATACTGACACCTTTGCTTTCTGGCCATTCAAAGTACATAAACTTTATTTGTGCACCAACACATACATATACACACACATACACATAGTAAAGATAAAGTTTTCCCCTTGACATTAAGTCTAGTAGAGTCTGACTCAGGGTACCTATTGATCTACTCACATTTGCATGTTTCTGAACTGCTAGGTTGGCAGAAGCTGTAGCTCACAATGGGAGTTCACCTTACCCCACAGATTCAAACCACCAACCTTCTGGTCAGTAATTTTTGCAGCTTAACAGTTAAACCCACTGCACCACAGCATCCCCATATATATAAAGAAAGGGGGGGGGCATAAAATTACTTTACTACAACTCCCAGAATTCCTTAGCATTGAACCATGGCAGTGAAAGTGGTGCCAAACTGTATTAATTTTGCATCTAAGGACACATAAATGAATTTTGTTTGTAAACTTGGCTTCAAGAGGTCTCATTATAGATATGGAGATCTTTCCAAATCCAAGAATACCTGAAACCCTTTTGTTCCCAAGCATTCCTGATAAGGGGAATTCGACTAACAACATAAACAAAATACAGACAGCCCCCATGTTATGAACAAGCTAAGTTCTGTAGGTTTGTTCTTCAGTTGAATGTATATGTAAGTTGGAACAGGTACTCCAGCCAAATTATACATATATATATAGCTTTGGAGTATATGCCCTGTGGCTTGTTGTGGAAACAAGGGATTATAGAATCAGAGTTGGGAGAGACCTTGTGGGCCATCCAGTCTAACTGCCTGCCAAGAAGCAGGAAAATTGCATTCAAAGTACCCCTGATAGACGGATCATCCACCCTGTTTAAAAGCTTCCAAAGAAGGAGCCTCCACCACACTTCAGAGAGTTCCACTGCTGAACAGCTCTCGCAGTCAGGAAGTTCTTCCTAATGTTCAGGCAGGATCTCCTTTCCTGTAGTTTGAAGCCACTGTTCCTCATCCTAGTCTCCAGGGCAGCAGAAAACAAGCTTCCTCCCTCCTCCCTATGGCTTCCCCTTACATGTTTATACATAGCTATTGTCTCCTCTCAGCCTTCTCTTCTGCAGGCTAAACATGCCCATCTCATTAAGCTGCTCCTCATAGGGTTTGTTCCCCATTTTAGTCGCCCTCCTCTGGACACATTCCAGCTTGTCAACATCTCCCTTCAATTGCAGTGCCCAGAAGTGGACACAGTGTGATTCCAGGTGTGGTCTGGCCAAGGCAAAATAGAGGAGTGGAATGACTTCCCTGGATCTAGACACTAGACATATATTGATGCAGGTCACAAACCCACTGGCCTTTTTAGCAGCCGCATGACATTGTTGGCTCATGTTTAACTTGCTCTCCAATATCATTTTTAATACGTACTACTACGTGTATTGGTGATGTTTCATTGGAGAGACCATTCTCCCATGACGACTTTTCTAGAGTGAATTTCCCTTCCTAGGAGTAGATTTCTCTCACTTCCTGTTGTCTCGCCCCCGTTCTTAACTGTGAGTCTTTTGTGAGTCAGATGCTTGTAACTCGAGCACTGCCTGTAGAGGAAGGTCTCCCAAGCCCCGCCCACACGACCCCTCCCCGCGCGAGCGCCTCCACAGCCCCCCCTTTGGCCCCGCCTCCTCCTCCGGCCATTGGCCACCACGCCGCCGTCACGTCCCCCGCAGATTGGCCTCCGCCAAGGGGCTAAATCGGGCTCTGTTGCTGGGCGCCAAGAGCCGCTGCGATTGGTGGATCCTCTCGACCTATCAGCGCCCGCGGAGCCCGACTTGGCCCTTTCCCACCACCACAGGCGAGAGAGAGACGTAACGGAAAGTCCTTCCAGTGCCCCGCCCCCTCCGCGACCAAGGCTGAGCGGCAGCCCCCCCCTCCCGGCCCACCCCGTCCTTACTTCTTTCCTGAGGGGCTTGCTGGGAGGGGCGGGGGCCGGCCTGGAGGCCTCTTCCGCGGGGGCGGCCTCTGCGGCGGGGGGCGAGGGGTGCTGCTGGAACTGCGCGGCGCTCCTCCGGTGCTGCTGGTACTGTTGGAAGCGGCTCTGCGAGAGGCCCGAGGCGGTGGCCGCGCGCAGCTTGCCCCTCCGCCGCCTCACGCGCTTGAGCGCCGGCCTCGCGCCGCCAGCCCCCGCGTGCCCCGCCGCCGGGCAGCACCGCGCCTGGCCAGGGCCCTCGCTGAAGTCGCCCCGCAGCAGGAGGCGCTGGAACAAGAAGGCCGCCGGGAACTGCAGGGCGCCCTCCGCGCCGGGCGGGAGGCGGGCCAGGAAAGGGGCAGCAGGCGCGCTCGTGGTCACCATGGTCCGGGTCGGAGGACGAAGAGGAGAGAGAAGGCGGTCGGGAGTGGGAAGGGGGGAGGAAGAGAGGAAAGGGAACGGGGCGCAGGGAGGCGGCGGCTGAGCGTCCGCTTTCGCGCTGGCGGAGCGGTCAGATCCGCTGCTAAGAGAACATGGCGGGGAGTGGAGAGGAGCGCCACAACGCCCCACTGTTGTTTGTAGAGCCAGGCGCCCCGCCCACAACCCGCGGGCCAATCAGGGCCAAGCTCGTTCCGCCTCTCCGCCGCCTTCGCCAATCACCTGGGAGGTTGCGTCTTGAGCGGCCAATCAGGAAAGACACAAACACTACATTGCCACGCCCTCTTCCCCCAAGACGATTTCTTCCCTTGGGGGTGGGGAGGGGGTGCATCTACGCTGCAGAATGAATGCGCTTTGATACCGCTGTAACTGCTGCTGCGCAATACCATGGAGTCACTACTCTCACAACGACTTTAGCCTTTTCTGCCAAAGAATGTTGCTGCCTCACCAATCCACAGCTCCAAGATTCCCTAGCATTGAGCCTTTCTAGTTCAAGTGCAGTCAAACCGCATTAATTCGACAGTGTAGGTGCCCCGTTAAACCAGCGCAGCAAAAGCCACTTGAATTCACTCTGCAAAGGGACCTTACCACTTCCTTGAGAGAGAGGTTGGTAGTCTCAGTTTTCCTAGGACCCTTCCAGACAGGCCCCATATCCGAGCATCTGATCTCAGGTCTTCTGCTTTAAACTGTATTATATGAGTCCACACTGCCAGATAATCTGGGATATAGGGCCTGTCTGCAAGGGCCCCACGATTTAATTAATTAATTAATTCTTCAGTCCAAAAAAGCTTATCAAAATAAAAATACTCCCAAATTGCGGATGAGAGAGCGACACCTTTGCATTCTGATGATTCAGGGCTCTTCCACACAAACATATAACCCAGGGCCCTTCCACACAGCCCAATATCCCAGAATATCAAGGCAGAAAATCCCACAATATCTGCTTTTAGCTGGGTTATCAGTCCACATTCACATAATGTGAGATTTTCTGCCTTGATATTCTGGGATATTGGGCTGTGGGGAAAGGCCCCAGAATATTACAGCAGATAATCCGCAATATCTGCTTTGAACTGGGTTATCCGAGGGCCCTTCCACACAGCCCTCTATCCCAGAATATCAAGGCAGAAAATCCTACATAACCCAGTTCAAAGCAGATATTGTGGGATTTTCTGCCTTGATATTCTGGGATATAGGGCTGTGTGGAAGGGCCCTAAATCCACACTGTCATAAAATCTAGTCCAGTGTGAATTTTATGCAGCTGTGTGGAAGGAGCCTCAGTGTACACAAACTTTGTCTCCTGCACAAAATCATGACACAATAATAATATTAATAATAATAACAACTTTATTTTTATATCCCAGCACCATCTCCCTGAAGAGACTTGGGGAGGCTTATATGGGGACAAGTCCAGTCAAACAGAGATTAAAATATAACACAGTAAAAAATTGCAAATACAAAACATCAAAAAAACATAACCAACAACTAATGACCTAACAGAATGGCTATGTACTAATCTCATGGAAGAGGCAGGACATGTGCAAACTTGTACAATTTTGTGTATGAAATTCTCTCCAGGCCGTGTTTACATTAAACAAGTGACTTTCATGTTTACAATTGGATCCCATGTCCAAGACATATTATTCGTATACTGTATATGCAGTTATTCCAAAATCCAGCTGATTTGTGGCCTCAAGCATTTCAAATAAGGGTATACCAGTTTCTCTCTCCAATGAATGTGGTTGGGCACCACTTGAACTGCCTTGGCTCAATGCTATGGAATCCTGGAAGTTGTAGTTTGGTGAGGTACCAGCACTCTTGGGCAGAGCAGGCTAGATATTTTGTAAAATATTTCCCGATTCCATAACATTGAGCCATGACAGCTGAAGTGGTGACAAACTGCATTCATTCTACAGTTTAGATACACTCTTAGGGCCTTTCCACACAGCCCTATATCCCAGAATATGAAGGTAGAAAATCCCACAATATCTGCTTTGAACTGGATTATCCGAGTCCACACTCAGATAATGCGGGAGTTTCTGCCTTCATATTCTGGGATATAGAGCTGTGTGGAAGGGTCCCTATTTTCTTGAAGTGCTACAAGATCCCTTTACACATTGATATTCCAGCCTCTATAACTTTGTAGGCTAGCCACAATGGGATTTAGTTCTGAGTAAACAAGCCCATCCTCATACAGTTGGCGATGCGACTGAAACAGCACAAACAAGCCTTTGGGCCCCGCCTCTGTTGCCTTGCGCGCTGGCCAATCAGAAGCGCGCAGCGCGATCCGAGGAAGTTCCCCGCAGGCAGCTGGCGAGACTGGCAGAGGTGACGGCTGGAAGGAGCCAGGCAAGGAGCGCATGCGCACAACAGCCCTTTCTGCTTCTGGCCAAACAAAGCCTACTTATGCAGTGCTCATATTCTTCCAAAGGCTTCGCACAGCAGCTTCTGCACCTTAAAAAAACCCCAAACATTACCACTGTGGGCAGAATGTGAAGTGCCATATAGTACGTCTGCTACATGTTTTCTCATTCTAGCAAAGACTCAGCCCCAGACACAAACAGCAAAACTTTTTCTTAAGGTGTTGGCAGGGAAATCGATGAGACTAGGCCTGTTCTCTCAGAATAAGGTGCTATTATGTTAAGTGAGGCATAAACCCACGTGATAGTTCAAGCCTAAAGATGCTTGCGAAGCAGCCAGACAGACTGAATGTAATCTCTGAATAAACCTGGAGATTATTATACACGAAGCCTTGTGTTGCTTATTAGTAGGCCTTTTGGGTGCACCTACACTGTAGAATTCATGCAGTTTGGGTTGTTGTGAGTTTTCCGGGCTGTATGGCCATGTTCCAGAAGCATTCTCTCATGACGTTTTACCTGCATCTATGAACAACACTCAAAAATGGGTATTTCAGATAAGAAAGAATCAGGGCCAGCTAATCACCTCCCAGCAAAGGATTCCCCCAGACAGTAAGAAGCCAGACCTTGAAACCACTGGGCCATTAAATGCTAATCAAGGTGGCCTATTTATTTATTTATTTATTTATTTATTTACGATATTTATAGCCTGCCTTTCTCAGCCATACGGCGACGCAAGGCGGGTTACAGATTGGCACAATTCGATGTCAAGCATTCATAAAAGTGCCATTAAAAACAATCAACATTACAATATATGGATGGTTGAATCTGTGGATTCAGAATTTGTTGATAGAGCGGCCTGACTTTATACATAAAGTCCCATCACATAAAATACAATTTTTGAAGGGTGTTTATGGCTTGCAGACTCTGGGTGGAGTTAATGCTAAATTTTGCACTGCACTACGCAGGGATTCACTATGGTATAGATTCATCAATCAAAAATGAATCTTAACACACAATGCCTTTTGTTTCACACATACATTGAAACAATCAAAATAGACAATTAGTACTGGTATTTTTTACAAATTAGATATGTGTTAATTTTCAATTTAGGAATTGAGATGATAATTCCCAAACCACTTCTAAATATAGTTTAATTTTATGTTTATGCTATTTTCTTTGTATGTATCGATGATGTTACTTGGAAACCGCTCTGAGTCCCTTTGGGGAAATAGATCGGTATATAAATCAAGTTTTGTTGTTGTTGTTGTTCCATGGAAAATGTTTCTGACTGAAGTTTTTCTTCTGAAAACAATAGTGTAATATTATAATTTAGCATTGCCAATGTTTTAGGCTCCATCTACACTGCCATATCATCCAGTTTCTGAATCCAGATTATCAGATTTGAACTGGATTATATGACAGTGTAGACCAGACATGGGCAAACTTCAGCCCTCCGGGTGTTTTGGACTTCAGCTCCCACAATGAATTGTGGGAGTTGAAGTCCAAAACACCCGGAGGGCTGAAGTTTGTCCATGCCTGGTGTAGACTCATATCCACCTCAAAGCAGATAATCTGGATTCAGAAACTGGACTATAAGGGAGTGTAGATCCAATCTTAGAGAGATAGCATTGGTTCACAGTTTCTGTGGGGTAGGTGTGTTAGTCTGACGTAGCTAAAGCGTTGTAGCACCATAAAGGTTTAATAAATCTGTTATGACGTAAGTGTTCATGTTCAACAGAGACATGTGTCATCATAATTATTCTCGTCTTTAAGGTGCCACAAGTATTTTAAATGCACAACTTGGCCCACAACATAATTGGATTTAAATCTGTTGACAGAAAGAACACAACGGTGAGAACCAGTTTGCTAAAGTGACTCATTTTATGAGGTGGGAATTGCCAGGCCCAAATGTGGCCTCACCTTTGAGCTTGTTAGGTAGCTTATGATAAGGCCACTGTGTCTGGTCAAAGGGGATGTTGATACATAAAGTAAAATGTGATCTGAAGATAAGCAGATCTAAGTCTGTTCAGAGCTTAGACGCCTTCAATATACTGCAGGCAGGCTGGTGATCTACTTTGTTTTTCACTAGAGCCCCAGGGCTTACATATTGTGCAAAGCAGTAGCTCTGGAAGCTTTCAGGATGCACGTGCTTCTGAGCCCAGGGGCAGCTCAGCAACTATTTTTTGCTCGTGGCCTAAAGCCCACAAATTCTTCATACTCATCTTCTGTCCTGTTCCCCCCCCCCCCAAAAAAACACCCTTCTTTGATTTTAGCAGTTTGATTTTGCAAAATGCATTTTGTTTTCATAACTATTAACAATTGGGAGCCAGACCGTTTTGGTGATCTGCTACAAATCATCCAGAAAGCATCCTGCAAATTCCAAAATACCTCCTTTCTGTACTTGATATAAAAGTCCTGCCCCCTGATGTCTCAGAGGTGTCTCCATAGCATTGCACTACACACTGAGCTGCTGAACTTGTTGACCAAAAGGTTGGTGGTTTGAATCCGGGGAGCGGGGTGAGCTCCTGCTGTTAGGCCCAGCTTCTGCCAACCTAGCAGTTTGAGAACATTAAAGTGTGAGTAGATCAATAGGCACTGCTTCAGTGGGAAGGTAACTGCGTGCCATGCAGTCATGCTGGCCACATGACCTTGAAGGTGTCTATGGACAATTCTGGCTCTTCGGCTTAGGAATTAAGATGAGCACCAACCCACGGAGTCGGACATGACTAGACTTAATGTCAGGGGAAACCTTTTCCTCTTACTTAAGAGCAGTGCCTAAG